TCCAACAGGAAGCTTGGCTGTGTATACACCTCTCATCACCAAGAAGGGTGCACTCCCTCTCTTTCCCCTACAGAGAAGAACAATGAAAGCCTGGATGCATTTCTGCCCACTGAAAAGGACACGTCCTTTCTCAGTGGACAGAAGAAACCAATGCCTAGCTACTGTATGTTTCTGTTCAACAAAATAGGAAATGGACTTTGTCTGAGGAGAAGCAGCCAAGTTTCAGTCACTTCTTTCTGCAAAAGAGAGACTCCATTGTCAGTAGACGGAATTGCAACCGACTTTTGTCGCTTCTCTCTTTAGAGGAAAGAGACAGACTCCTTTCTCAGCAGACCCCACACAGTCGGGTTTTCCAGTGGATTTGGCAGGTAAGGAGGAGTTGCTTTCAGAGGCTCAGCAGGGGAAGCCTGGTACTGCACTACCCTCACCATAGGCCATGGAGACTGTTTTTACAGATAACTGAAACAGTGTAACATGAACTCCTACTAAGGTAGATGATGGGTTTGATGAGAAGATCCAGTTTGTGGGTGTGCTCTGATTGTGTTTTCTTATAGGACAGGGGGTTGGGCTGGATGGTCTTTGTGACCTATTCAAACTCTATGATTCTATGGGAAGGGTAGCTAGCACATTGGAAGACAGATTTTTCTTTTAAAAGAAACCTTAAACTAGAAAATTGCGATTGAACTAATGAAACAAAACATAAGTGACATCTGTAAAATTCTACCTTTAGGTTCCAAAACCAAATGCATTCTTATAGGATGGAAAATTCAAGGGCTGTTATTGAGGGGACAGTGCTTGTTTGCTCTCTTTTCTAGTGGAAAATAGGACCATGAGTTATGACCTGACAAGAGTTAAGGTCCAACAATTTCCTCCACCTTCCATCCAACTTAACTGTACAAATGTGGAAGAAGCAACAAGGAGATCAGCTAGTTTGAATTTGATCATATCCTCTGGAGATTTGTTATACAGAGGAAGGGGAGAGGCAAATATAGTTAGATAAACACAATGGACATCAAGAAATCAGATTAGGGAAATGCTGGCAAAGGTCAGAAATGCTCAAAGGGAAATGAATTCATGGTGCATAGGAGCTTCTTAAAGGTGAGATAATATAAGCACAGTTGCAAACCATTCAAGGAAGAAGAAAAACAGAGGTTTGGAAAGAAACAAGGGTCGACAATCCAAGAACTTTCTGATTAGCTTAGATTTAAAGAGACATATGTACGAAATGGGAGAAAGGAGGAACCGCCAATAACAATATTTGTAGAGGAACAGTCAGAAAAACTAAAGCTCTGAATGAGCTCAGACTCACTAGAGATGTTAAAAATAATAAGTAGGGTGGATTGTTGTAGGTTTTTCAGGCTATATGGCCATGTTCCAGAAGCATTATCTCCTGACATTTCGCCCGCATCTATGTCAGGAATACTCAGGGGTTGTGAGGTCACCCAGCGATTCTGGCCATGAAAGCCTTTGACAATACAATAAGTAGGATGTTTTGACTGTTTGGAGCAGGAGATAAAACAAGACAATGGTAAGGCCACTGTGTCGAGAAGATGGTGAAATGCTAACAGGGGTCAGAGAGAATGCTGAACTGTTCAATTCCCTCTTTGCCTCACTTTTCTCTCAAAAAGTAATTCTGTAACTGGTAAAAATAATGAATCCTGTGGTAAGGAGACTAAATCACAGAACAGCTAAAGAAATAGAAAGGAATACCTAGATGCTCTAAAGTAATTCAGATATCCAGAGTCAGATGAGTTACATCCAAGACACTGGCAGATCTAATCTCAGAGCCTGTCAATAATTTTGAGAAACAGACAAAAAGAAAGCAAATGTTGTCCCCATCTTCAAATCGGGAGGGAGAGAAGAACCTGAGCAACTATCAATCACTTTGATGTTTATATCCAGAATTTGTCTTAGAACAGATCATTAATTACCTCTGAGAATGCTTGCCATAGATGCAGGCGAAACGTCAGGAGAGAATGTCTCTAGACCATGGCCATATAGCCCGAAAAAAACTACAACAACCCAGATCATTAATTTTTAAATCTGTGTGCATTAAGAAGGCCATGGTAATTATTATGAAGCAGGTCAAGTCAATTTAATATTTTTTTTCTTTTTGGAAAAGTTACAAACTTGGTAGATCAACGGAGTAGTATGGCTATAGGACACCTTGGTAAGAGTTTTGTCAGGTTAAGCAGATCTGTAACTGATTGACTGAATGAACCCATAGAGTACTTGCCAATTAGTACTCTTCATCCTGGAGAGAAGTAATGACTTGAGTACCTCAGGGTTCTGTCTTGGGCCTGGTGTAGTTTAACATCTTTATAAATTAATTAAATGATGGAATAGAAATGCAACCACATTTGCAGATGTGATGAGCAATGAAGAGAGGTGTGAATATTCCAGAAGAGAGAAACAGAATTCAAAATAGTTTGACCAATTTGAGAGCTGGGCTAAAAACTAAAATAATGTTTTTTCCCCAAAACAGGGGTGAATATAAATATCCCATCTAGGTAGGCAAAATGAAACACCTAACTACAGAATAGGTTAAACTTGGCTTGAAAACAGTACATGCCAAAAAAGATCTAGGGTTGTTAGTAGAGGACAAGCAAAAACATGAATTAAAAAATCCAATGAATTCTAGGCTGCATCAACAATAGTGTCCAGATGAATGGAAGCAGAAGTTCTAGTCTATTCTGTTTTGGTCAAACCTCACCTGGAATAATGTGCCCAATTTGGGGCACAATAGTTAAAGCAGAATATTGAGAAGCTGGAACATATCCAAAGAATACTGACCAATATGATCAAAGGTCTTGAAACCAAGCTTTATGAGGAATGGCTTAGGGAGCTGACTAGATTTATCTTGGAGAAAAGAAGCCTGAGAAGTAACAAGATAACAATCTTGAAATGTAGAAAGCTGCCACTGATCTGAGGAGTCAGAGCCCAGAGAATTGTCAGGAAGTGAAGTTATTTGAAAAGTGGAACCATCCTTTTAAAGCTTGCAAATGTCAAACTAAACATTACATGGCACCAAACAGACGGATAAGAGGAGGAAAAAACAGCATGCTGAGAACAACAATAACAAAAATCACCTGCTCAGAGATAAAACAAAGTACCCCATAAATATTAACCACTTGTACCCAGAGACTAGAACATGAACTAATGGATTCAAATTACATGAAAAGAGATTCCACCTAAAATTAGATATATTTTTTATTGTACAAGCTGTTTGACAGTGGAGTATGTTACCTCAAAGGGTGGTGGACTCTCTACCTCTGGAGGTCTTTAAACAGAAGCTGGATGGACACCTTATCAAATTGCCTTATAGTCCCTTCCAACTTTATTATTCTATGAAATTGTGAACATTGATAGTGCTTAATTTAAATTGGAAATATTTTTGCTTCTTTATTGTCCAATATACGGAAGCATAGGATTCTTTCTCTCTGTTCCTTGTCATCTTGATGTAAACAAAGATGAAAACTATTCAAACGCTTTTTCACACTGTTTGAAGCTTTAATGTTTACTTTTCAGCTTATATACATGTGAAACCACACCCAATTCCAGCTCATATGCACTCATTGAGTCTTGACACATAATGAGTACTTCAATGCATTCTGGTTTTTCTTCTTCTTCTAAAAGTTATTCACTAAACTGCACTTTAACCTTCTACATTTTGGTTTGTGCTTAATCCTTTAGTCACTTACTGGCTCAAATTAGAGCTCTGGCAGGAAACTAAGAGGTATATGTACCATGAAGAGGGCAATCCAGTAATGCATATAAAAGCACCAGACATGCACCAGATGGTATAGTGGTTTGTCCTAACATGATGTAAAGCCAAATGAGCTGAACCAAAATCACCTGGTAGCTCTGGTAGATACCCTGCATGTAACAACACTATGGCTGTGATATTATGTGCACTTACTTTGGATTAGACATGCATAGGATCAAACTGTAAGGCACACATTACAATAATTGTCTTGATGTGTCTCTCTCCACTGCAGGAAAGATGTCAGAAAAATATTTCTCTCTCTCTCTCTCTCTCAGAAATGTAACTACCAATTTGGCAAGTCTAATTTGAACTGAAGGCAAACCTAAATGATTAGCTAGGAAAGTGTGTGTGAATGTGCACATGTATGTGTGGTTGGAGAGACATTTTTCTTGTAACCAGAAACTGTGGCCAAACAGTGATCTGGTTGTTTAAAAGCTCTGAATTTCCTTTTCCAATGCAACAACTGTGAAGTTAAAATACCTTCCACTAAATTAGGATTTTGAGATCTTCTAGCTCAGTGTTTCTCAACCTGGAGGTCGGGATCCCTCTGGGGGTCACGAGGGAGTGTCAGAGGGGTCGCCAAGGACCATCAGAAAACATAGTATTTTCTGTTGGTAATGGGGGTTCTGTGTGGGAAGTTTGGTCCAATTTTATCGTTGGTGGGGTTCAGAATGCTATTTCATTGTGGGTGAACTACAAATCCCAGCAACTACAACTCCCAAATGACACAATCAATCCTCTTCACAACCCTACCACTATTCAAATTTGGTTGTATTATTGGGTATTTGTCCCCAATTTGGTCCAGTGAATGCAAATATATCCTGCATATCCGATGTTTACATTACAGTTCATAACAGGAGTACAATTACAGTTGTAAAGTAGCAACGAAAGTAATGATATGTAATGAAAGTAATGACATAAGGAACTGTATTAAGGAGTCGTGGCATTAGGAAGGTTGAGAAACACTGTTCTAGCTGCTATTGAAGAATAACACCCAGTAGCCCTGGCCAGTCTAACGACTGACAAGGATTGTCGGCGTTTGCATTTCAACAACATCTGAAGGGACATGGAGTTCCTGCACTAGAGTACAAGCAAATATATCCTCTTCTAGGTGGGTCATTGACAAACAGCTAGTAGTCTAATCTCAAAATACAATTATAAAGGGAAATTAAGCTGTACCATTCAAACAAGAAATGTCTTTCTGAGCTCAGAAAACAAATGGAAAAAGAGGACATAAAACACCCAACTGTTTATCTGATAAAACTAATGTTCAAGAACAAAATTGGATTCCAGAGGAAGACCAAATGACTTTGATTGAGGATCACTATATGAATCAGAACATCCCATAACGAGGTGAAATACCCTTTGCGTTCCCAAGACCATGGGCTAAATCCTGTTAGTTCTAACTAGAGTAGACCTACTGAAAAAGTTAGATTCAGTTGATCCACCATTTAACAACTGATTCAACCGGTCTACTCTAATTGTAACTACTCAATGTTTTCAGACAATAGACAGCACATTATTTACTTACGTATTTTCCAATGTTTATTCGCAGCTATTTTCACACACTAAAATATTGATTTAGCTTAATTGACCCCACTTCAACTGCCTGCTCATAAGCCAGTAACATGAACTCAATTGACTGCTGGCTTCTGAATTCTTTCAAGGTGAATTGGGGAATGGTCTATTAAAAGATGATACAGGCCACTCTTTAGCAACAGTTTGAAGTTTCCTCTCCCAGTACATCTTTTTTTTGTTGAGCACCTCCATCTTGATTCTGTGTTCCTCTTCAGCCATTTCGCATTCTCTTTCTATTTGCTGGATCTTTGCCACATGCACTTCGTTCATCTGGATCAGCTGCAATTGCAAAATAGACATTTGCTGGTGATGCTCTTCCTCATGCATCTTTTTCAGATCACTTTCTTGGACACCTTTACTGCGGAAGTTTTTATTTGCAGTTATTCTCACAGCTGAACAGGAGGGCTCTGGTTGTGAGGTACCTTCACATACCTGGAAATGTACAAGTTCTTTCTCTTCATCGCACAGTTCTCTGTTTATAACAGTGAAAGGCTCTGGAAAAAAATAGTAACAATCAGACAGCAATTATGTGAAGCATTTTTTTAAAAATCTAGTTTAAAAACCTGTGTGGAATAGCCTCTGGAAAACCTGGATTCCTATGTCCCTCGGCTTTGAAGCTTCCCACACCTTTCATGTTCGTGACACACTTTTTAGACATGAATAATTTTGCGACACAGTAATTTAGTTTGATTAACCAAACGGAGGTTAACGCAACTCCTTAGAAGATATACCTACATAAATTTGAATAATGAAATGTATGGGGACACAACATATCTCATGAAAACCTTTCATTTATCTCTCTGTGTGTGATTTTTAATTTAAATTTTAATGTATTACATTTGGCCTGGCCATTGGTTTTTAACATGTTGTATGTCATTGTTGATTGCTTATTGCTTATTTTTGTTTATGTGATTTATCTGAATTGCATTGTATTGACTGTTTTATTTGATGTTTTGTTTATTGATGTACTGTGGGCTTGACGTCATGTAAGCCGCACCGGGTCCCTTGGGGAGATGGTAGCGGGGTACAAATAAAGTTTTATTATTATTATTATTATTATTATTATTATTTGTTTTGGGTTGTTGTAGGTTTTTTCGGGCTATATGGCCATGGTCTAGAGGCATTCTCTCCTGACATTTCGCCTGCATCTATGGCAAGCATCCTCAGAGGTAGTGAGGTCTGTTGGAACTAGGAAAAAGGGTTTATCTTGACAGTGCCTAGAGCAAACTTTTGTTGAAAGGTGATTAGATGTCCTTGTTTGTTTCCTCTCTGTTGTTGTGCTGTTGTCAAGCCATTATAAGCTAATCAAGGTGGTCAGTTGAAACATTCACACCTAGTTCCAGCAGACAAGAGTCCTTTGTCTCACCCTGGTCATTCCACAGATATATAAACCCTTTTTCCTAGTTCCAACAGCATATTACAATAAAGTAAAACCAAAACACAACAACAACACAGTAAAATTGATACAATATATGAGTACAAAGACAATAAAGCAAAATCATACACAGTAAAATAAAATAACAACATAACATGTGCAAGATAAAAACTAAGATACTAAAAATACTAAAATCAGGGCGGAATATAAACGGTCCAAAATAAATAAATAAATAAATAAATAAATAAATAAATAAATAAATAAAATCCAGTTCAAAGCAAATAATCTGGGATCAGATTCTGGAATATAGCGGATTGTAGATCTAGCCTAGGAGCCCACAAGCATTGGATGAGAGACACCACATTGGACTCTGGTGACATTTGGGGTACATTCTTAATTATAAGCTGACAAGATATCTATAGGCTACTTGTTTTGCACAAAATTCTAGAAGTACTTGAAGCATTACATCAGCATGTGATCATGGAAAGAGTCAATTGCCCCCTTTGCAAGTTTAGGGTCGAAACTGAAGTTACTAAGAGCACCAGGGGATTGTGCATGTTGTTAGCTAGAAACTTTGTCCACCTGCAATGTCCTTTTACGTGCTTGAGCTGAAAGAGGTAAGTAGGAAAGAAATGTCCTTCAGTCTCAGACTGGGTTTGCAGAAGTACAAATTAGATCCTAGTACGAAAATAACCCTTTTTACTCAAGGCAAGATGGAAGATTCTGGGAAGACACAAACCTCCAACACCTAGTCAGTAAAACCCACGTAACTTCTCAAATGCTATTTGGAGCACATTTTTTAAAAGTGGTAAATAAAGAAGCAAAGAGTTTGAATGACAGTTATATCTTCATAGTTAGAATAAAAGGCCTAAAACACAGTTTAAACTCTTAACTGTTGTTTTTTCCCCTTCCTTCTTTATTTAAAAGAAGGTGCTGGTACTGCTACAATAAGGCTGTTTTCAGACATGAACTACAGCAGAGTACAGTGCTCAAGGTATTATGAAATAAAAAAATGACACATATAAAATTATGCAAAAAGTTTAGGATAGACCCCTAAAGTCCAACTGTACCTTGGCTAGAAGCTTCAGGATGATATTCAGAATCTTCTTCTGGTGTGTTCTGTAAAAAGTACACTTGCTCAGGCACCATGCTGGTGATCTTCTCTTTTCCTAAGATGTGATTACTTATAAGTGGACTAATACATCTTTTTACCTTGTCTCGTCTTTCATGTGCCATTATTTTCTTTGTCCGTGCTTTGATGTTCTCCCAGCATTTCTTCAACTGCTTGAAGTCTCTGAGAGAAACACTTGGTTGAGAATTATATTCATGAGCAAGTGCCTGCCAGGTCCGTTGTTTCAATGCAATAGTTCTTGCATCACTTTTTTTACATTCAAGTACATATTTATATTTCTCAACCAGTGCCAGTAGCACACTCTTCTCCACTTCAGAGAAGTATTTGGCAGGCTTTATTACTTCACTGTTTTGCATTTTCTGTTGATTCTCCAGATTGCCAAAATAACCTATAAAAACCAAAAATAAGATGTCTTACTTTTATCACTTTACAGCAGTGATTCCCAGACTCTAGTCTTTAAGATTTTTTTCAGTTTCAACTCCCAGAAGCCTCAGTCTCCTTGGTCAAGGATTCTGGGGATGGAAGTCCAAAATACCAAAGGACTAGAGCTTGAACCACTGCAGAGCATTTAATTTTTTGATCATAAAATATTATTTTTCATGTGGTCATCTACTTGAGAGTGTGATCAGAGAGAGTCCCTTTGTCATTCCCATTTGTCAAGCCAAATGACTCAATGACCCATGAATTGGTCCAGTTTGACTAGCAAATCAAATGATTCCAGAAACCTATCTGTATTTATTTATGTATTTACTGTAAAGCAGGCATTTATTGAATATTCAAGGAATTCCTTTCTCAACCACTGAAGATTTTTTTTTTCATTTGGCCCAGCTGGTTTCCATCACATACATTTACATAACTTGCTTAAAACAATTAATATTATCAAGCAAAAGATCTGGTTTTAAGAAAGACCTAAAGATCTGGCTCTTCCATTGTGCTTTTGGAGAATGACCACTCAACCCATCTTAGCCTACAGCTGCCCTCAGAATTAATCATCTTCCCACCCCTAAAATGGCTAAATCCCATGGTTCCTCCCTGTTGGGCTCCTTTCCTACACATGCACTTTTATCCTTATCTCACCCAGAGTTTTAACTTTTTAACATTTTACCTCATACATTTGGCCCGCCCTCTGTGTCTGGTTTTACTATGCTATTTTATATTGTTGATTTTGTTATGATGTATTTTGTTATTGTGTGTTTATTATGTTGAATTATTTTGGGCTTGGCCTCATGTTAGCTGCCCCGAGTCCCCTTTAGGGAGATGGTGGCGGGTTATAAATAAAGTGTATTATTATTATATTATTATTTCAGGGCACATGTGTAAAACTACTTAGCAACTTGAATTTATAGGAAAACTTTTGTCTTTGCCATTCAGGCCTTACTACTGTGTAACTTGTTTTAATACTTTACCATCCGGCTTTTAGATGTTTTATTGTGTCAATGACACAATAATCCAACTGGTGAAAGTATAATGGCTTTTAGCCACTTTTGCTAAGAAGTAGGACTGAGCATTGCCTTACCGTTCCTTCACAATAAGCCAGGAATTCCACAGACACCTGACTTTCAGGCCATATGCATGCACCCTATGCCTTCATACGTATTCCATGTGACACTGCAGCTCAAATTTGCACTAAAAAATATTGAGTGCAAGAAGACCAATACATTAGATATAGATATAATAATGAATTACCCATTTTTGCTACCTGCCTATGTTTTTAAAAACAGAGGACTTGAAAAGCCCCTTGCAATCTATGATATTCTGGCCACATTCCTTAGGATACATATCTGAAATACAAGTTACATACAATACTATGTATGTATCTATACAGTACTATGTATATATACAGTACTATGTATGTATGTATTTATTTATTTCATTGGCGGGATAAATAAGCAAATAAGTTGCTTGTCTATACTATACACTATCCTTTCGAGAAAATAAAATAATTGTTCCTTTTTATTTTAAGGTCATATATTTTCCTTCTATCGCAGATGCATGGCCAGTTGGGATCATTGTCATTTAAGACAATTAGTTGGGAAAGACTTAAACAGAGCTTCCAAATTGCACTTCCAATATTCCCCAAAATATCTAGTTTGATATATCCACTAAATGTGCTTGTTTTGAAGTAGGGAAATAGTATCAGAAATAATCTAAACTATAACCAAAACCATCCTGACTGAGAAATGTTGTGCAGTCAGTGTCTGGATACTAGGAAGAGCTGCAAGAAAACTATTTGTGCTGGGAGGAGGGGAAATTCAAAATGCTTAAAAAACATAGTTTGTCCAGAACATGGCTGTTAAAATGTTGATAACGCAAGTAGGTTGTGGAAATCTTTTATCCAAATGCTTGGGACCAGATGTGTTTTGGATTCTTGGTTGTTTTAGATTTTGGAATATTTTCATATACATTATGAGATATCTTGGAGATGGGACCAACCCTAAACAAAGTACCATATTTACTCAAATATAATGTGCTATGAAATGTAATGCGTACATCAATTTTAAAGGTGCACATTACCTTCCCCAAAAGGAACTGTTGTAGTATATAATGCACTCAAGTTGGTGAAGGGACCCAACTTATTTATTTACCATATTCATACCCCACCCTTCTCACCCTGAAGGGGACTCAGAGCAGTATTTACATATAGGCAACAATTCAATGCCATAAAAACATGCAATTAAAATAAACATGTACATTAAAACCAAAGATATTAAAACATGTAAACATTACATCAATTGTTAAAACCACTTGTCCTTGCCCGCTGACTGTTCCACTGCTTGCCTCCCTGACGACAGTTCCCAACTGCCCCATGCAGTTCCCAACTGCCTTCCTTCACCAGGCCTTCAAAACCCTCATGCCTGTCAGTCATTCCACTATCTGCCTCCCCCTATGAAGGAGACCAGTTGGGAAGCCACACCACTCCATCAGGTTGACACTGCCATTGTAATGTAGCCAGAAAAGTGAGACTATGGTCTACACTTGTCTTATACATATAACCTAAAGGTAATTTTTTACACAATATTATAAATGATTTTGAGCACGAAACAAAGTTTGCATGCATTTACCCACCAAAAAGCAAAGATGTAATTATCTCAGCCACCCATGCGGACAATTCTGAATTATGGAGCATTTTGGATAACCAGATTTAAGAGGTAACTCAATCTGTATAAAGCAACTTTCGAGATGTCACCTGTCAGTAGAAAGTGCTGTTTTTGATACTGAAAGTCATTAATGACCTAGGATCGAGTTAACTCAAGGACCATCTTCCCTGTACATTATCTATACGATCCATACATTTAGGCCATCTACAGAGGTGCTGTTTTCCCCTATGGAAGATGTGGAGGTTATTTAAACATGAGAAATGTTTTTCAGTAGAATTCATTTCTTAGAGAGGACTATCACCCTTCGGACATCCACATTTTGTGGCTGTTTCTCCTTAAGCTGAGACTTGAAGAGGTGTTTTCAACTGTACGCTTGTTGAGATATCCAAACAGAACATAGACTCTTAGTGTTTAACTTATGTGGGGAGGCTAACTAATTTACGAGGTCATAAAAATCTCCAGCAAGCATGCGGGGAATGAGGAAGTACTTCATCAGTGTTGCGGATGGACACTGAAGTGACAGCTCCCCTGGTGGCCAGAAAAAGTTGGAATGTTAAATAGCCTCTGACTGTCTTGTCTATATATATATATATATTGTATGTCTGTGGCATTTATTGTTTGCCATGTATACATACATTGTAATCCGCCCTGAGTCCCCTGCGGGGTGAGAAGGGCGGAATATAAATACTGTAAATAAATAAACACAAGAGTAAAGGGGTGGCTCATCTGAGACCCAGAGAAAGACTACCTAGCAACAAATATAATATTCAGGTGCTATGTAATCTTTCCCTTGAGGTTTACAACATTCAAATGTTCAAAGTGATGTACAAAACAAGATTTCACCACAGATTTACTAATAACTTCTTGATTCCTTCATCAGGCCTTTACTGTACTTAAAAGCAAGAGTGACTGGAAAAGGAATAGTCTTAGTTATAGAATTCCACCAATTCTGTTGTTTAGATTAGATTTCGAAATGTCTACTCTAAACTGTGTCACAACACTAGTGTTTGGCTGCAGTGTGTAGGTGTGTCACACAAACGTAACATAAGCAATAAATCATATAAGTGCTTTAAAAATACAAATGTAAAATGTTCATGAGATATGTTGTGTCCCCACGCACTTCATTATTACAATGTATGCATGCAAGACGGTTTTTAACAGTGTATTTTATTATTGAGACAAATGTTTTTAATGTTTATGTATGCACATAATGAATTTATGTCCCAGCATTGAATGTTTGCTGTATATATGCCGTATATATGCTGTGCTCTGCCCTGAGTCCTCTTTGGGGTGAGAAGGGCAGAATATAAATGTTTTAAATAAACAAATAAATGCATCCCTATCTCTTCTAAGGGGTTGGTTTAAACTTCAGTCTGATAGGAAATCTGAATTACTGTGTTGTGAAAGGATGCATGTTTAAAGTGTGAACAACGTCATTATTGTATTGTTTTGCTTTGTTATGAGTTATTTATTGCTGTTGTTATGTTTTATGATGTATTTGGGCTCGGCCTCTTGTAAGCCGCATCGAGTCGTGCGGGAGATGGTAGTGGGGTATAAATCATAATTATTATTTGTTTTCAAGGTACTCATTACACACAGAGCATTTATAGATAGATACAATATATTATATTACATTTCTGCGCCAGCTGCGCCCATACCTTGGGAAGTCTGACTTGGCCATGGTAGTCCACGCTCTGGTTACATCCCGCCTAGATTACTGCAACGCTCTACGTGGGGTTGCCTTTGAAGACAGCTCGGAAGCTTCAACTAGTCCAACGCTCGGCAGCCATGATACTAACAGGAGCGGGACGCAGGGAGCATACAACCCCCCTGTTGCGCCAACTCCACTGGCTGCCGACTTACTACCGGGCTCAATTCAAAGTGCTGGTGTTGACCTTTAAAGCCCTAAATGGTTCCGTCCCAAGCTACCTTTCCGACCGCATCTCGGCCTATGAACCCACTAGAACTTTGAGATCTTCCGGGGAGCCCCTGCTCTCGATCTCGCCAGCTTCACAAGCGCGGCTGGTGGGGACGAGAGACAGGGCCTTCTTGGTGGTGGCTCCCTGGCTTTGGAACGCCCTTCCCACAGATATTAGATTAGCACCATCTTTAATGGTCTTCCGCAAAAAAGTAAAGACCTGGTTATTTGTGCAGGCGTTCGAATAATTAGTGCAAAGACTGGTAATGACATAGGAATGGAACAAAGGATGACGAATTTGGATCATGTTTTTAGTGACGAGACGCCTGTGAATGGTTATCGTAGTAATTGTGTATGAATTGTATATTAGATTAGGTTGTTAACTGTTTTATATTGGTGTTGAATTCTGCTGTGTTCTGTGTCTTGTGAACCGCTGTGAGTCGCCTTCAGGCTGAGAACAGCAGTATAGAAGCAAAGTAAATAAATATATCCGAACGTATCTCTGCTTATGCACCAACCAGGACTCTAAGATCTTCTGGGGAGGCCCTGCTCTCGATCCCGCCTGCATCACAGGCACGGCTGGCGGGGACGAGGGACAGGGCCTTTTCTGTGGTGGCCCCTCGGCTGTGGAACACCCTTCCCATGGACATTAGATCAGCCCCTTCGTTAATGGTGTTTCGAAGAAAACTAAAAACCTGGCTGTTCGAACAGGCGTTCGGTTAAACAATGCAATGTACACGATGACTATAGGAAACGGAATTATGGAAGACGAATTGGATTACGATTCTAGTTACGAGACGTTAATGTGTTGTTATTGATGTGTCATTTTGTATATTATGCTGTTAATGGTTTTTAAATTTTGTATGCTGTTGGATTGACTTTTGCTCTTGTTGTAAACCGCGTTGAGTCGCCTACAAGGCTGAGAAATTGCGTTATACAAGCAAAGTAAATAAATAAATACATTTCTGAGCCCAGCATTTTTCCACATTTGGGAAACACCTCGAAGGTCTCCTAAAAACAGACTTAGGGCCCTTCCACACAGCCATATAACCCAGAATATCAAGGCAGGAGATCCCACAATATCTGCTTTGAACTGGGTTATCTCAGTCCACACTGCCATATATTCCAGTTCAGAGGAGATACTGTGGAATTTCCTGCGTTGATATTCTGGGTTATATGGCTGTGTGGAAAGGCCCTTGGTTAGAACCGTGGTACGCCGGCCTGAAGCCTTCCCGAGACAGAAACCTGTTTTACCAGGTTTGTGGGCATCAGGGCCTCCTCAGACTTGCCCGTCCTCTCCTCCTCCTTCAGACCGAAAGCATCGCCGGACGAAGGCGGCAAATCCCGAAGGCGAGGGACGGGGTTCCTGCTATTCCTCTGCCATTGTTCGCCGCCCTGAGGGAGAACCAGCGCCTGTGGAAGAAGCCGGGCATCCCCGCGCGGAACAAAGCCTCTCTCCTCTCTCTCTCTCCTCGTCGCGGGCCTTCTCTGCCTCCGCCTCCTTCACGAGGGGCGCCTTCCTGCTCTCTCCAAATTCCGAGGTGGCTTCCGGTCTTCTCCCTCTTTCCCTTCAGGCGTCCTCGAGAGGAAGGCTCCCAATGAGGCCTTCTACATCCAGGCCGGGTTTTCCATCCAGCAGGGCCGCAGTTTCCGGCCAGGAGAGGAAGACGCATCCTGCGCACGCGCACAAGGACGCGACGCGCGCGCGGAAAGGGGCGGAGTCTGATCCTGAGGAAACGCGAAGGTTGGTATCGACGGCTTCTTCTCACGGCTTGAGGGGGATATCGGTTGGGCCCGGGACTCAAGGCAGGCGCGGAAAAGCACACCAGGTATCCTCAAACTATGGCCCTCCCGCAGTTTGGGCCTCCAACGCCCAGAATTCCTGAACATTGAACAACTTAGCTACGGCTTCTGGGAGTTGGAGGCCCAGAGGATGCCTGAGGGCCTGTGTAAAATCTACGTTATTTGTCGTGTCAGGGCAAACAGTCAATTGTATTACATTTCTAACAGAACAAAACAAACAGACAGACAAAATACCAAATTTGCGAGTTTGGTAGTTGATTAAATGCCCTTTGACCAGTATCTGGCCACTTGGAGTGCCTCTAGTGTTGCTGCAAGAAGGTCCTCCATCGTGCATGTAGCAGGGCTCAGGGTGCATTGCAGCAGGTGGTCAGTGGTTTGCTCCTCTCCACACTCGCATGTCATGGATTCAACTTTGTGGCCTCATTTCTTAAGATTGGCTCTGCATCTTGTGGTGCCAGAGCGCAGTCTGTTCAGCACCTTCCAAGTCGCCCAGTCTTCTGTGTGCCCAGGGGGGAGTCTCTCATTTGGTATCAGCCATTGGTTGAGGTTCTGGGTTTGAGCCTGCCACTTTTGGACTCTTGCTTGCTGAGGTGTTCCAGCACCTTCCAAGTTGCCCAGTCTTCAGTGTGCCATGGGAGGAGTCTCTCATTTGGTATCAGCCATTGATTGAGGTTCTGGGTTTGAGCCTGCCACTTTTGGACTCTCGCTTGCTGAGGTTTTCCAGTGAGTGTAGATCTTAGAAGGGTGGTGGGGTAGGGGCAAAATTTGTCTTTGTGTTTGGGGTAGGTAGGTAGGCATGTAGGCAGTGGCGAATACATATTACGAAATTAGGCTTTGATAAGTACGTAAGAATTTAGTATACACAAAGGGAAGTTTTCAGCCACTAATTGTAGTAGTAGTCATTTTAATCCAAGGGTGTGTTTGGTTGTTTGTCTTGTATGCTGACATGTTTGTGTTGTTCAATTTTTTACTTAAATAAAAATGAATTTTAAAAAAGAAAAGAAAACTATTTCTTGATTTAAGTTGTTGACGTGCTGGCTGATACCCAAACAAGGGATGAGCTGGAGATGTCTCTGCCTTGGTCCTTTCACTATTGGCTGCTACTTCCCGGTGGATATCAGGTGGTGCAATACCAGCTAAACAGTGTAATTTCTCCAGTGGTGTAGGGCGCAGACACCCCGTGATAATGCGGCATGTCTCATTAAGAGCCACATCTACTGTTTTAGTGTGGTGAGATGTGTTCCACACTGGGCAAGCATACTCAGCAGCAGAGTAGCATAGCACAAGAGCAGATGTCTTCACTATGTCTGGTTGTGACCCCCAGGTTGTGCCAGTCAGCTTTCGTATGATATTGTTTCTAGCACCCACTTTTTGCTTGATGTTCAGGCTTCTTGTAGGTCAGAGCACGGTCCAGAGTGACTCCAAGGTATTTGGGTGTGCTGCAGTGCTCCAGTGGGATTCCTTTCCAGGTAATCCTCAGAGCTCGGGATGCTTGTCTGTTCTTAAGGTGAAAGGCACATGTATGTGCTTTAGATGGATTAGGGATCAGCTGGTTTTCCCTGTAATAGGCAGTAAGAGCACCTAGAGCAGCGGTTCTCAACCTGGGGTCCCCAGATGTTTTTGACCTACAACTCCCAGAAATCCTAACAGCTGGTAAAATAGCTGGGCTTTCTGGGAGTTGTAGGCCAAAAACATCTGGGGACCCCAGGTTGAGAACCACTGACCTAGAGCTTCAGAGAGCTTCTGTTCAACCATCTCAAAGCTCCCTGCTTGTGCAGTAATGGCATGATCATCAGCATAGATGAAACTCTGTCCCTTCTGGCATTGGTTGGTCATTTGTGTAGATGTTCAACATGGATGGAGCAAGCACACTCCCCTGAGGCAGTTCAAATTTACGTTGAACTGGGTTATATGACGGTAGGGACCCAGAGCCTTTTCAGACAGCCATATGACCCCTAATATCAAGGCAGGAATTAATCCACACAATCTGCTTTGAACTGGGTTATCTGAGTACACACCGCCATATTTTCCAATTCAAAGCAGATAATGTGGATTAGGGATCAGCTGGTTTTCCCTGTAATAGGCACTAAGAGATCCTAGAGCTTCGGAGAGCTTCTGTTCAACCATCTCAAAGCTCCCTGCTTGAGCGGTAATGGCACAATCCCTTCAGCTCCACTCTCAGTTATCCTTCTGAATCATAGAATCATAGAATCAAAGAGTTGGAAGAGACCTCATGGGCCATCCAGTCCAACCCCCTGCCAAGAAGCAGGAATATTGCATTCAACTCACCCCTGACAGATGGCCATCCAGCCTCTGCTTAAAAGCTTCCAAAGAAGGAGCCTCCACCACACTCCGGGGCAGAGAGTTCCACTGCTGAACGGCTCTCACAGTCAGGAAGTTCTTCTTAATGTTCAGATGGAATCTCCTCTCTTGTAGTTTGAAGCCATTGTTCCGCGTCCTAGTCTCCAAGGAAGCAGAAAACAAGCTTGCTCCCTCCTCCCTGTGGCTTCCTCTCACATATTTATACATGGCTATCATATCTCCTCTCAGCCTTCTCTTCTTCAGGCTAAACATGCCCAGCTCCTTAAGCCGCTCCTCATAGGGCTTGTTCTCCAGACCCTTGATCATTTTAGTCGCCCTCCTCTGGACACATTCCAGCTTGTCAATATCTCTATTAATTGTGGTGCCCAGAATTGGACACAATATTCCAGATGTGGTCTAACCAAAGCAGAATAGAGTGGTAGCATTACTTCCTTAGATCTAGACACTATGCTCCTATTGATGCAGGCCAAAATCCCATTGGCTTTTTTTGCCGCCACATCACATTGTTGGCTCATGTTTAACTTGTTGTCCACGAGGACTCCAAGATCTTTTTCACACGTACTGCTCTCGAGCCAGGCGTCACCTCTGTATCTTTGCATTTCATTTTTTCTGCCAAAGTGGAGTATCTTGCATTTGTCACTGTTGAACTTCATTTGTTAGTTTTGGCCCATCTCTCTAATCTGTCAAGATCGTTTTGAATTCCTGCTCCTGTCCTCTGGAGTATTGGCTATCCCTCCCAATTTGGTGTCGTCTGCAAACTTGATGATCATGCCTTCTAGCCCTTCATCTAAGTCATTAATAAAGATGTTGAACAGGACCGGGCCCAGGACGGAACCCTGCGGCACTCCACTTGTCACTTCTTTCCAGATGAAGAGGAAGCATTAGTGAGCACTCTCTGTGTTCGTCCACTTAACCAATTACAGATCCACCTCACCGTAGTTTTGCCTAGCCCACATTGGACTAGTTTCCTTGCCAGAAGGTCATGGGGGGACCTTGTCGAAGGCCTTACTGAAATCCAGGTACGCTACATCCACGGCATTCCCCGCATCTACCCAGCTTGTAGCTCTATCGAAGAAAGAGATCAGATTAGTCTGGCATGACTTGTTTTTGATAAATCCATGTTGACTATTAGCGATGACTGCATTTGTTTCTAAGTGTTTGCAGACCCTTCCTTAACAATCTTTTCCAGAATCTTGCCCGGTATCGACGTGAGGCTGACCGGACGGTAGTTGTTTGGGTCATCCTTTTTTCCCTTCTTGAAGATTGGGACCACATTGGCCCTCCTCCAATCTGCCGGAACTTCTCCCGTTCTCCAAGAACTCTCAAAGATGGTTGCCAATGGTTCCGAAATGACTTCCGCTAGTTCCTTCAATACTCTGGGGTGTAGTTGATCTGGCCCTGGGGACTTGAACTCATTAAGAGCGGCCAGGTATTCCTGGACGACTTCTTTCCCAATTTGGGGTTGGATGTCCTCCAATCCCTCATCCACTACATCTTGCTGAGGTTGAAGACTCTCTTTTTGTGAGAAGACCGAGGCAAAGAAGGCATTAAGTAGTTCTGCCTTTTCCCTATCCCCTGTCAGCATTGCCCCATTCTTCTCCTCGAAGAGGTCCTATCGCCTCCTTGTTTTTCCTTTTTCTACTGACATAAGAATAGAAGCCCTTTTTATTGTTTTTAATGTCCCTGGCAAGTCTGAGCTCGTTTTTTGCTTTAGCCTTGCGGACCTTTTCCCTACAGGTGTTGGCTATTTGTTTGAATTCTTCTTTGGTGATTTCTCCCTTTTTCCACTTCTTGTGCATGTCTCTTTTGTGTCTTAGCACAGTTAGAAGTTCTTTGGACATCCATTCTGGCTTCTTTGCACTTGTCCTATTTTTTCTCTTTGTTGGCACGGTTTTCAATTGCGCCTTGAGTATTTCAATCTTGAGAAATTCCCATACATCCGTAACTCCCTTGTCTTTTAGTATCTGTGTCCACGGAATGCTGCTCAGCGTTTCCTTCATTTTTTGGAAATCAGCTCTCCTAAAGTCCAAAATGCGGGTTTGACTTGTCTTAGTTTCGGCCTTCCAATGACTGCTCATTTGTGTAAATGTTGAACACGGTCCCCTGAGGCAGGCCGTTCTTCTGTTTTTGCCATCTTTGGCCCTGGAACTCAACAAAAAAGCTCCTGTTTTGTAGCAGGTTTCCTATGAGGCGGGTGAGGTGGTAGTCCTTTGTGATATTATACATTTTTCTCAGGAGGAGGCGGTGGTTCACAGTATCATAACCTGCTGACAGGTCTATGAAGACAGCTCCTGTGACCTAAACTTAATACCCCAGAGGGCAGGGTCTGAATAAAAAATGACCTTTTAACAGATTTGAGTTGGGCCATAGCTAATAAAGTGAACTTTATCAAGGAAAAATGTGTAATGCTACATTTAAACAATGCAAATTACATATATAGGATATGAAAGGGCTTTTGTGGACCCCAATTGAATGTGAGTCAACAGCATGTTGTAGCAGCTTTATAAACCAGTGTTTTTTCCCCAGGTATTACTACTTGGTATTAGGGTACCTGCTACTCTAATGTTCCATCTGGACATTAGGAAATGAGTCGCCCAAGGGCTGAGAAAAGCGGTATATAAGTGAAGTAAATAAATAAATAGGAAACACTTCCTGACCATAAGAACTGTTCAACAGTGGAACCCTCTTCCTTGGAGTTTGGAGGCTTTTAAACAGAGCCTGGATGGCTATCTGTTGGGGATACTTTATGCTTTTTATGCATGGCAGAATGGGGTTGGATTGGATGGTCCATGTGGTATCTTCCAACACTGTGATTCTGTGGAAGTAAAAGAAGCCAAAAACAATACTTCAAGATTCTATGCCAATCTTAGTGGGGTTTCCTTGTAAGTGGGATATTTGTCACTTAAAATCGAGTTGCCTGTCTGCATGTTTTGCATTACCGCTCCTGAGCCTTCTGAAGGTAAACCAAAATCTATGAAAATAGATTAATATTTCATTTCATTTTATTATTCTCAAAAAGCCGCACTTCTTCAACTAGCCTAACTGTACCTGTCTATACAGGAATATAACACTGCCTACTCAATTAAACAGATCAATCATACCTGTACTCTTTTAACTCATAATCACCCTCATTGCTATATCAAGATTGACGCAATATAAAAGGACACTTGAAGCTTATTGACCTAAATAGTGTATCTTCCTAATGCTATTTTAAAAAGGTACACTTGAAGCTTATTGACCTAAATAGTGTATCTCCCTAATGCTATTTTAAAAAGGCACAATTGGGCTATCTGTAATATTATTTATATAAAAAACTGGATAGACTTGGACCCCATCTACACTGCCACATAATCCAGTTTCTAAATCCAGATTATCTACTTTGACTGGATTACATGGCAGTGTAGACTCATATCATCCAGTTAAAAGCAGATTGATTTAGAAACTGGATTATATGGCAGTGTAGATCCAGCTTTGATAAACTTAGAATCCACGTTGTAGTCTGTCATGGAAATATTTATCAATACCTTACAAACCTGCCGGAGTAAACTAGTCTGTCTTCAATATATTCCTCTGTAACATATGTTTTCTGTTAATAAACCAGATTCTCTGCGACTATCAATAATCCTCAGTCACTGATAACATCCAGCAAGTCTTCAATCAGTTGCTGCTGTCTAACCCCGCGTGTGTAGTGAATCCCATGAGACCATAACATCTCGTGCCCCGCTGGAAAGCTATCTCGGAGTAGCTGTCGTGACACTAGAAGCACTCTCAGTGAGAGATTTGAGTGCTGTCAGGCGAGAAAGGTGAGAGGTCTTCGCAGGAGGTGCAAAAGTATCGGAGGCCGCTGCCTTTGGGTAGGTCTTCGGTTGATGCGTTGGTGCTCCAGGTGAAGAGGCATTGTTCTATTGCGAACAGTGGAGGCCAGAACAGAGGCTGTTGGGCCCCTTCCACACAGCTGTATAACCCCCACATTGAACTGGATTATATAGTTTTATGATTGTTTTTTTTATAATAAAGAATTTTTATTTTTACAATACAGAAAAAAAATACATACCGTGCACACACAAAACATTTACAGTTCCAACCACCAACACAAGGATTGTTTTCTTTTACATATTCATTTCTTTTTGAGACAATCATTATATCTTTATCTTTATACATTTTCATCCTGGATACTATATAACATTTGTATCTTATTTCTAAGACAGGGGTGTCAAATTCTTTTTCATCAAGGGCCATATCAGCCTTAAGGTTGCCTTCAAAGGGCTGTTGAATCTATGGACAGATAACCTGTGGATATAGAGGGCCAACTTTTTTTTTACATAAGTTAGTTTTACCCAGTTTGGGTTCCCAGATGTTGGTAAATGACAACTCACATTATTTGTAATTTTCTGCCATGCAGATTGGGGGTAATGGGAGTTGCAACCCAACAGCACTTGTGGCTTTGAAGTTGAGAAAAGGTTAAAGAACATTTTAAAGTCAGATACCAGATCCACAAGCCTTGTATCTAAATTCAAGCCCCAGTCTCCTGACTAAACAGGACAAATTGGAGTCTTCCAGATCTTACTGTGTCACAGCTTCCATCAGTTCTAGCCATGATGCCTAGTGATGAGGAATACAGGAATTTTAGTCTGGCATCTAGAGAGCCACATAAAATGACATGGGCTGAATTCGGCTTGTGGACATTGAGTTTGATACATGTTCACTAAGAAGTCAGCTTGTTCTAGTTGAGAGCTGTATTTATATTGCATTTATAAAGTCTTGTGCATGTGGGTAATGTTATATAAATGATTAACAGTTTAACAGGTTCAAACTTAAAGACAGACTTTGCCAAGCCTGGTGAGCCACCCAGAGTGAAGGGGATCCCAAGACATCAGAGATGGATCCCAAACCAGCACCTTGGAAGAATCAGAAACAGGCATCTGGAAGCTCAGAAACTAATCTACACTATTGTGAGGTGAGTCTTGTTGGCATTTCTAGTATTACAATGTTATATTTTTGTAAATAATTTAATGCATTGAATTGAAATTAAATTGGTCCTGAATATGGAGTACGAACCTATTTCTGTGTACGAACCCACGCGATCTCTTCGATCATCTGGAGAGGCCCTGCTCTCGCTCCCACCTCCTTCGCAGGCGCGATTGGTAGGGACAAGGGAGAGGGCCTTCTCTATGGTGGCCCCCCGACTCTGGAACTCACTCCCCAAAGATATCAGACAAGCCCCCACATTGGCAGTCTTTAGGAGGAGCCTGAAAACGTGGCTGTACCAGTGTGCTTTCCCTGAATAAAGGAAACAATATTCTGAGAAGCACTTTAATTACCCGTTGGGTTGCTCTCTACTTTTAGTTTAAAACCCTCCTTCTAGGTACATCCTACCTCTGTTCATGTCCAGCCTTTATTTTTAAAGTTTTAACTTACATCTGGCCCAGCCATAGGATTTTAAATCTTTGTGTGTTATTGTTTATGTGTGAGTTATATTAATTGTATTGTTTATTTTGCTTATTGCTTGTTTTTATTGATGTGTTGTTGGGCTTGGCCTCATGTAAGCCGCTCTGAGTCCCTTGGGGAGATGGTGACGGGATATAAATAAAGTATTATTATTATTATTATTATTATTATTATTATTATGGAGGCCTTTATTAATGAAATTGTATGAAAATTGGAGATTCTACACCATTGTTTCAGGTGTCCAAAATGCATATACGACCTAAAGGAGTGGCTATTACTGAAGCTTTTAACCTGAATGTCTTAATTTATATTTTGTGTTTTTGTGAATCTCTCCCATGGGAGAAAAGTGGGATAAAAATAAATATAACAATAATAATGTGTTAGTCGTTTGATGGATGTTAGGGGTTTTATAATGTTATAAGTTGCTAATTTTATAAATTTTGTGGCACATGATTGTATTTTTATGTTATGTAACTGATTTATGGTTTTATATGCTGTAGGCCACTTTGAGTCCCGCTCTGGGAGAAAAGTGGGATAAATAAATAAATAATGGTAATAATCATATATGTAGGCAATATCTGCAATATTGAACATTAGAAAGATCTATTCTGAAGACTTGAATTATTCTTTATGCGAACAATCAAGAAGACTACACTTCAGTAAGGCTTAATGAGGTACTTCACTGGAAGCTTACTAATTGAATACATATACGATTGGTCATTTCTTAAAACAGGTTCTAGTAGGAGAATAAAACATGATTTCAAACCCTGAAGGCTATATACAAAAAAGATCTAAAATTGTAAAGTCTAAAAACATGAAACGCAATATAAAAACTTACGATATTGAGAATAAAATAGGACATGTGATAGTAAGAGTAAAACTAAATATAAAATGAGGCAGTAGAAATGCTGAAGTCCAGTAAGTATAAACACAACATCATTTTTTTAAAAAAATAAAGGACTAAAACTTCTGGAAGGTTTTTAAAAAACTACCATAACATGATGTTTCTTATGTGAGTGTTTCATAAATGAAGCCTCACTGCTTGGCTTGAATGGGACACCAGAAGAGGCCATCTGAAGAATTATTTCAGGAGAGAATGCCTCTAGACCATGGCCATACAGCCCGAAAAAACCTACAACAACCCAGTGATTCCGGCCATGAAAGCCTTCGACAATACAATTATTTTAGAGTTCAAACATAAATAAATAGGTGGATGAAGAATGTTGGGGTAAAGTACTGTATTGAATTGCCCTCAGAAACAAACTAGAAACTAGTGCTGTTAAAGGTGTAATGTCAAGTCAACTATATTTATACCCTGTCCCATCTCCCCTCAGGGACTCAGTGCGGCTTACAACATAAGTGGATGCCATACAATAATGCATGGCCATGACCCTACCAACAGTATCACTGCCTTGTTTTTGACTAGTTAGATAACTGATTTTATAACTGATTTTTTAAACTTGTTTTAGGTTTGCCAAGTTCCATGTCTATCACTCGAGAGACACTGTGCTGGGATAAAGCATAAAAAGGTAATTCATATTCTTATATTTAACACTGACTGTGCTTTCCTTAATCTGTAGCATAGATTACATAACTGTTTTCAGTGACATATCAGTACTAAGTTACACTATCTTCTAGAAATTATGAGCTAAAGGTAAAAAAAAATCCTACACTTCATATGGGCAGGCCAATCTCCATCCTCATATTGCAACCATATTGGACTTTGGACAAACTGATTTGAAAGCATCTTTCTTGAACATTGTATCATATAGCGTAATGTTAGATGTGTAATGTAAATACAGTCAGCCTTCCACGGTCGTGGGATCAAACCTTGCGGATTTGATTATTTACTATTGTTTTTACCTATCCTCTATGGCATTTTAAATATGGTTTTGTCATGAATGACTTTTCAATAACTTTGAAGCATAGGTTATTGCAATTTCCAGTGTGAGAGGGTATATCAGATTACAGATAAACATTTAGACAAAGAATGACATTGGACATACAGACATACAGATTCTATGCAACTACATTGGATTTGCAATTACATTGGTTAACATACAAACAAAGGGGAATTACATTTTCACTCAACATTCACACACATGTACACGCATTCATACATAGGCATCCAAAATATTACCATATCCTTTTCTCCCTCCTTGGAGAAGCACCTGTTAGGCCAGACCCTGCTTTTCTGCAGCCTGTCAACGCACAGTTCCATAACGCCAAAACGTCAAAACGCAGAGATGCCAAAACTTCTTTCCCTAAGAACAATGCCAAGGACCAGATCTCTGTTTTCCATACAGTAGAACCTGACTCCCTGCACAAAATCCAAGACTCCAAAAGCGCACTTCTTCCTCTTCCCTTGAGAAAGAAGCCCCAAAGAGACCAGACTGCTCCCGTGCAGATCTGCCACTCCATAGTACACTATCTCTCTCCTTCCCATGGAGCAGAGCATAGCGGGTGAACCAGACTCCTCAGGTTGGTCACAATTTGAGCATTATTAGACTGAGTCTTTTATAGCAATATTCTGTTGATGTAGTCCCAAAGTTGTAAATTAATGATAGATGTCTTCCATCTTGGATCCATCTCAGTTTCCTGGCCAGATGTTGATCTTCTTGATTGGTGTCGATTTTATGTTGACTTCCTTCTTAACATAAGGAATGTTGCAAACATTTCTGTTATCACAGTCCCAATTCTTATCAGAGTTTCTCATTACCAAGTTCAGCAAGCAGGTAGTTAGTCATTGCCGGCCCTAATATTTTACTGGTGCTTCCAAAATTATTAGCTCCATCCATACATTCACCTTCCATTCATCCATACATTCTCAAACATCATATTAAATCCACATTTGTCAAATCTGCACAATGAATTTCTTATTACAGTTTTATAAATACTGCTTCAAGTTCCCAGTCTTTCTGCAAGCCTTACAAGACTAAGAGAGACTGCAAATAGACGGCAAGGCTTACAAGTCCCTCTGTTAAAAATAGCTTAGGACAGTGGTGAAGGCAGTGGCAAGTTTCACCTGTCTCCTGATTGCAAAGGAAGCTGAATTGAATTTGTGGATTGTAAAGTACTTTTTATGTATGTTACATATTGGGGGGGGGGGGGGGGGGAGAGAGACTTAGGATATTCAGAGTTTTCCCACTTTCGTGAAGGCCCTGCACTCTTAATCCCCACAAATGTGGAAGGCTGAAAGTAGCAAAATCTCAGGGCAGCTTAAATGAACTTCTGACCTGATGAAATAAACAGTATAATTAAATAGTTTTAGTTTCTTTGACCGTTCATATATGATAGGTAAGGTAAAGGTAGTCCCCTGACATTAAGTCCAGTCATGTCTGACTCTGGGGTGTGGTGCTCATCTCCATTTCTAAGCCGAAGAGCCAGCGTTGTCTGTAGACATCTCCAAGGTCATGTGGCCGGCATGACTGCATGGAGTGCCGTTACCTTCCCACCGGAGCGGTACCTATTGATCTACTCACATTTGCATGTTTTCAAACTGCTAGGTTGGCAGAAGCTAGGGCTGACAGCGGAAGCTCACGCCGCTCCCCGGAATCGAACCTGCGACCTTTCGATCAACAAGCTCAGCAGCTCAGTGCTTTAACCCACTGCGCCACCGGGGGTCCTATCATATATGATATGATATATGATATCATATATGATAGTGGTTGAAAAACAGCATTGTTTTTACTTTGATTTCTGCCTTTCTTGTATATTTATACAGTAGTTTTGTATTTGATTACTTTTACTGCTGAGAAGTTCATCTTTGAGTATGCTGTTTACCTGTAACATTAAAAAGCTATTTTGTTCCTTTTTTTTTCTTTTGTGGCTTGTATACAATATTTTTTATTCTTGCATATGTTCAAACTCTATGTGCTGGAGCTTCCACGTCTTTCTAAGATGTCAAAAGCCCCCAATGACTTTTTCTTCGTTTTTTTTCCTCTGGAGGCAAGAGCTCTGTAATGGAGTCTTGTAATTTTAATGTTAGATGTAGCACAGTGAGTTTTAAAGAATCAGATTTTGAAATTTTAATATAATGTGCAAGTTTTTTAGGAAGTTGTGGATTATATGTTACCAAATAAACTAAAACATATGGCTGAAATGTCCGTTGATCACTAAGAAGATATTTGTGAAGAGGATGAATTGAGTTTAATGCATATCAAAGTCAATCCCATACCTTATTTTTGTGACTTATTACTAGGTTGGGTGAAATCAAGGATGAAACATAAAGGCTTCTCAACAACTGGTTGTTTCATTTTTTTTTCACTGAAAATCATTATGGACTTAACTTATGCATTGACAGTGTCTTTTTAATTGTTTAAGCCACTTTGAATCCCAAACTGGAAAAAGGGCAGAATAGAAATATAATAATAATAGTAGTAGCAGCAGAATCATCTGTAAACAGCTTTTGGAAATTCAGAAAACAACATCAGTTTGAAGTATTTATATTTTAGTGTGGTCAATGTGCTGTCAGTGATCTGTTTTGAGTAGAATTTTTCCAGTGTAACTTTCAATACAATTCATCTTGAAGAGCTGTTCTGACTGCTGTGACAAAATATTAAGATGATCAAGGTTTTTTTTTTCTTTTGAATAATGGCTAACAGAAAAACTTTAAAGTGTTCAATCCATTTAAAAGACTATCCTATTCAGACTTTGATCTTTGGATGAATGTTACATAGTAACATTTTTGGAGCATATCGGGAGTAAAATTTAGCTGTCCAAACTATCTACAATTACTTGTAACAGGTTCTGAAAATTACATATCTTGTCTTCTTGATATTAGCTCATGTATAGAAACAGATTGGTAACTATGTTTCAGAAGATAATGGACCAAAATGGTTTCTCTTTTTTCATTTCCATTCCTTGAACACTTAGGATATCTGTGACTGAAACAGAGATGATAATTTAAAGTTCAAAATTTACCATGCCAGAAGCAGTAATGTTGGGTATCATGATATCATGCTATAAAGAAGCTGCATTAGTTTTGTTTATCAGTTGACTTCCATTTATCGTTGCATTGAACTTTGTGGCTGACACGTTATCTAAATTGTCTGAAGGCTTTCCCTGGACTATATAATCCATTTTTTGCTCTTTTAATAATGGATGTTAGAAATTGGAAAAGCATTTCAGACCCAGAAGCAATTTTCTGCGTAGAATTTAAAAGATGAATGACCAGTTTTTCGATCAATAATTTTCTATCAAACTATCTGAATGAAACCAAAGATCTGCTTTTCTTAAACTGAAGAATTCAAGAGTGTGTTATTAAAGTGCTCTTACTGTTTTAATCAAGGTGTCAAAACATTAAACATAGGCACTTGATTTTGAAAAAAAAGGAATGGAGTATACTGACTTGCTGCTCTTTTGAATTCTCTCTTTTATAATACCTTACTTCTAACATGGAGACTACTTTTTTGTATTTTTTAAAATCCAGATCTGTTTTGTTGATTGAATTTATTTTAGTTTCTCACCTTTCCTGTCACTCTTCTCAACTTTTTAGGGAGGAAAAAATCACCTAGCAATTTTCATCAAATGGCACAAAATCTTGATTTTGGGGGAGTTCAGCTCCTAGGATTGTAGGAGCTGAAATTGTGCAAAAATCAAGACTTTGTGTATGCCATCCCCAAAAGTCAGACTAGCACAAATCAATCATTGCGTATGAATAACACTAGGTTTGAGCTTAAATTAATCTTGTATTCCTTGAAATTATGTTTTTTCCATATGCTTTAGCTTTTGCAGAAAATCACGAAGGCAATGCTTTTTTCTTTTTCAATAGAAGTTTGCCTTTGATGTCATTTATCTGCAGAAACTATACCCATGGGAACACTTTTGTCTTTAAAAAAAGAAAAGAAAAAGGGTAGTTCACTAATAGTTCTCTTTTGTTTCTAAAACACTTGCATCTTCGTTTAGAATGAAAAAGACCTGCAGGAAAGACGTGAGTGCAAAACTTGCTTTTCATATGTTGTTGCTATGACAGCCCTTGATTGCAAATTGGTACATTTAAATTGTCTTCATTTCTGCTAGCTTTTCAAAATCCTGATTTGACATCACAAAATTGGAAATATTTCTGCCTTTTCAGTCACAGTAATCATATTAATTTTATTATAGAACTGGCAGTTATTTGTCTACATCAACAATGCAATAGTTTTGTTCAAGTAAATAAACATAATAGCTGAAATGTGATTTTCAGCAGTAGGTTTAGGTGAAGGAACCTGGGTCATCACAATACAGGTAAAAAGTGTTGACATAAAGACTGTGACTCACCAACCAAGGCATATTTTCTTCTGCAAAGATGGAAGGAGGATGTAGAAGAAATGGTATGCCGGAGAACGATTTTCAATGGTTCTTTCACTGTGTTATTGAAGGCTTTCATGGCCGGAATCACTGGGTTGCTGTGAGTTTTCCGGGCTGTATGGCCATGTTCCAGAAGCATTCTCTTCTGACATTTCGCCCACAACTATGGCAGGCATCCTCAGGGGTTGTGAGGTCTGTTGGAAATTAGGCAAGTGGGGTTTATATATCTGTGGGGTGTCCAGGGTGGGAACATTCCACAGACATATAAACCCCACTTGTCTTCTTTCCACCAAACCTCACAACTTCTAAGGATGCCTGCCGTAGATGTGGGCAAAGCCCCGGACAGATGTTAAACCCATTGCTCAACAGTTCTCCTTGCTTCATTTCTTCTGATGACTCTGTCTGTTCTTCAGTGTCCTGCCAACAGCACCATCCTTTCATTCCATCCACAATAATAATAAGAATAAGAATAATAATCTTTATTTGTTACACTGCCTCCATCTCCCCAATGGGGACTCGGAGCGGCTTACATGAGGCCAAGCCCAAATGACAATTACAATAAAGAAAAACCAAAAACAAACCAAATAGGCGAACAACAAACAATAACATCATAGTTACATAAAACACATGAATACATAGCAATATGAAAAATAAAGAATATGCACAGGCACAATAATAATGAGCAGGCAACATGTAGTAATTAAAAGGACAAACTGATTAAAACTAATTAAAAAGTCGGGCGAGATAAAAGAGGGAAGCAGGTAATTTACGGAGGAGGGCTCATTTTAGCGGGAGTTGTGGAAGCAAGCTTTCCCAAGGGGGGGGGGGTGACGTATACTCCAATGACAGAACTTTGAGGCAGAGCAATCGTGGGATTATATACCTACTCATGAAAGGCGCAGCAGAAGAGCCAGGTTTTAAGGTTCTTTTTGAAGCTTTCTAGGGAAGGGGCTTTCCTAATTTCTCCACTACTTACCTACCAAGAAGCAGCAGCCAAATTTTAAGCCCATCAACCCACCCCCTTGCTCATTACTTCTGCTGCCAGATTTTAAGCTCCTTTAAAGCAAGGAAGGGGTGTAAAATCTGATAGCAGAACAAGAGACAGAATGGGGTGGATCACTGGGAAAGGGACTTAAAATCAGGCTGAGCGGTGGGATGGTGGTGAATGGAAGGAAGGACTGGCGCTTTTGGCAGGACATGGAAGGACAGATGGAGGTGCAAGAGAAGAAGTAGAGTGGGGCAGTTAAGCCACTTCTGCATGAAAAGACAAATGGAGGTGCAAGAGAAGGAGTAGAATGAGGCGGTTAAGCTAGTTCAACATTAGGAATCAAAATTAAGCTGCATTTTTTAAATTAAAAAAACCACTTGTTTTGTCCCAAAATATTCTCTAGATGCCCCGGAAGGTACAAAACAAGCCAATATGTCTTCTAAATAGCATTTGAGGGCAAGAAAGAGATATTCTGGAGAGGCAAGTGCATTGGGATCTGTGTTGTCCACCAAGTTCTCCTGAGGGTCTTCCATAGTTGCCCACCCCTGTATTAGGGGGTTATTAAGAGCATGTGTAAAGACATAAGAATAATTTGGCAAATTTCAGCTGGGTAATGATGACAAAAGCATCTGGTTCCAGCAGGAATAATATGGCTAGCTCAGAAACTTGAGTATGCAGAAGAAATGGCTTAATGTACTGTTTGCAAACATTAATATGAAAATACAGTCTTTATTGGTGTGTCTTTCCAGGTTCCCCAATATTAACTCCAGAGCCAATCCCAGGTAAGAACAAATAAATATTTTTTAGAAACTGGATTTCTTAGAATCTCAGTAACTTCAAAGAAAATTATCAGAAAGTGATTCACTATAGTACTGTCTTTCCATGGTGGGAGATTGTATGCTCCTGTGAGGCAGTGGTAGCTGTGCTGCTAATAGAATCACCTGTATTGGGCAGGCTTTTGCTGTGGAGTCGGGTAAAATGTGCCAGACAGCTATTGGAGCAGCAGCAACAACAAAAATACATGTTGGTACTGCACAGAAGGTGGCATGGTGTAAACCCTATGATAAAGCAGTCCAAAATGAAACAAAAGTACCAGGAAACTCCAAGGTCAGAAAGCGCTCAGTGAGCTACTGGCGATTAGAGGACAAATTCAAGATGTCGTGGTTAATGACGCAACCAAAAGGACATTCGGTTGTTGATGTGATCAAAGGTAAAAGTGAAGTCTGAAACTGCACATCACATTTTATGACCATGGAATTAGAAACACGTAAACCAGAGCAAACCAGACATAGTAAAACAATAGATGGAATGTATAAATATTAGTAAGCGAAAGTCGATAGTAATGAGATGTCATAGTTTTAATTGAGTGCTTTACAACAAATCTAAGAAGAAAGACAGTGTCGCATTAAATAGTGAGAAGAAATGTAATCAAAGCAATTAAAGAACAGAATGCAACAACTGACAATATAAGTGAAACTTCAAGGGATATAATAACCACAATCCAATTTTATGCTGCAGAAGTTTCTATCCTGGAGCCCAGGAGGAAATTGATCGCATACCAAAACACAACTTCATGTCAATCAGAGGCAATTGGAATGCAAAAATAGGAAACAGAGAATTTGGCCTAGGTTCAAGAATTTTGCAAGGCCAATAATTTGTTCATCACAAACACATTCTTCAAGTAACCAAAGAGGCAGTGGTGTATGTGGGCATCACCTGATGGCAAATAAATAAAAAGGTAAAGGTTGTCCCCTGACATTAAGTCCAGTCATGTCTGACTCTGGGGTGTTGACAAAGCCAAAGAGCCGGCGTTGTCCATAGACACCTCCAAGATCATGTGGCTGGCATGACTGCATGGAGCGCCATTACCTTCCCACCGGAGCGGTACCTATTGATCTAGTCACATTTTGCACGCTTTCGAATTGCTAGGTTGGCAGAAGCTGGGGCTGACAGCAGAAGCTCACGCCACTCCCCGGAATCGAACCTGCAACCTTTCGGTCAACAAGCTCAGCAGCTCAACACTTTAACCCACTGCACCACCGGGGGCTCCCTTGATGACAAATACAGAAAATCAAATAGATGGCTTAATTGGAGGCAGAAGACGGAGGAGTTCCCTTTCATTTAAAAAAATAAGCCAGTAGTAGATTGTGGCACAGACTGCTATCAAAAATTTGAGTATTTATGGGGTGTCTGCGCCGTACACCACTGGAGAAATTACACTGTTTAGCCGGTATTGCACCACCTGACATCCGCCGGGAAGTAGCAGCCAATAGTGAAAGGACCAAGGCAGTGACATCTCCAGCTCATCCCCTGTGTGGATATCAGCCAGCACGTCAATGACTTAAATCAAGAAATAGTTTTCTAAGATCTACGGAGACACTCACTGGAACACCTCAGCAAGCGAGAGTCCAAAAGTGGCAGGCACAAACCCAGAACCTCAACCAATGGCTGATACCAAATGAGAGACTCCTCCCTGGGCACACAGAAAACTGGGCGACTTGGAAGGCGCTGAACAGACTGCGCTCTGGCACCACGAGATGCAGAGCCAGAAATGGGGCCACAAAGTGGAATCCACGACATGCGAGTGTAGAGAAGCACAAATCACTGACCACCTGCTGCAATGCAACCTGAGCCCTGCTACATGCACAGTGGAGGACCTCCTTGCGGCAACACTAGAGGCACTCCAAGTGGCCAGCTACTGGTCAAAGGACATTTAATCAACTACCAAGCTTGCAAGCTTTGTGTTTTGTTTTGTTTGTTTGTTAAAAAATGCAACGCAACTGTTTGGTCTGCTCCTGACACAATAAATAAATAAATAGGGGGATATTTTACATGACCAAGTAGAAATAAAAAGGTGATGGAAATAATACCTCGAAGAACTCTATGAAAAATATGAAATTATGACAGGTTCATTGAAGGAAGAACCATTTGAGGATGAACCTGTAATTTTAGAAAGTAAAGTGGAATTTGCACTCTTGGGAGAAATAAAACACCAGGAACAGGTGGCATATTAATAGCTACAGTAACACAATATATGTTATTTCTATCAAAAATCTCTCAACAAATATGGAAAACAAAGATTGGAAATACTTCATATTTTTTCCTCCCCAAGAAAGAAAACACTCAGGATCATAATCACCCTAGGATTATTGCATTAAAACCTGTGCAAGTGATGCTTAAAATTCTACAAGAAACCTTTACAGTATATGGAGAGAGATATGCCCGATGTTGAGGTTGTGTTCAGGAAAGGGAGAAGCACTGGGGTCATATTGCATATATAAATTCTTGAAGGCAAAGAATTTCAAAGAGAAAATAAATCCATGCTTTATAGGTTACAAGAAACACTTCGATTATATAGAACATGAGAACCAATGGGTCGCTTTTAAATAAATGGATGTACCTCAATATTTGACTGTTTAATTACATAACCTATATGTTGAACAAAAAGATTTTACTATCAGGGCGGTATGTGGGAAAGTAATGGTTTCCAGTTGCCAAGGGAGTCAGGCAAGGCTGCATTTTGTCACCTCATCTGTTTTAACATCTACACTGAGCATATAAGTAAAGCAAGATTAGACTTGAAGAAAGGGAGCATGAACATTGGAATTGTAATATCAACAATTAAAGGATGCGAACATCAAATATGTGAGAGGAAGTCGCAGGGAGGAGGGAGCAAGCTTGTTTTCTGCTGTCCTGGAGACTAGAACGTGGAACAATGGCTTCAAACTACAAGAAAGGAGATTCCATCTGAACACGAGGAAGAACTTCCTGACTGAGAGCCGTTCAGCAGTAGAACTCTCTGCCCCAGAGTGTGGTGGAGGCTCCTTTGGAGGTTTTTAAACAGAGGCTAGATGGCCATCTGTCAGAGGTGGTTTGAATGCAATATTCCTGCTTCTTGGCAGGGGGTTGGACTGGATGGCTCATGAGGTCTCTTCCAATTCTATGTTTCTATCACCATGCTATTAGCTGAAAACAAAGTCATAGAATGATTACTGAAGAAAGTCAAGGAATAAAGTGCAAAGACAATGCTACAGTTGTACAAGAAACAAAAATAATAACCACAGATTACACAACTTTAAAGTTGACAATGAAGACATTGAATTAATTCAAGATTGTCCATACTTACTTAGGTGATTCCTCGTTGTCCGAGTAATGTCCTCCAAGTTCGGTGTACTGATGGTGGGTCCGTAGGTGACTATGGAGCCCTATTCTTGATCTGCATCTTCTCCCGCAGTGAGGGCATTGGTTTTCAGGTGGAAGGTTCCGGTTGGGGTTAGCTTGACGTGCCTTCCTCTTGGCATGTTTCTCCCTTTTGTCCTCCATGCCTCTTCAAATTCTTCAGCACTGCTGGTCACAGCTGACCTCCAGCTGGAGCGCTCAAGGGCCAGGGCTTCCCAGTTCTCAGTGTCTATGCCAGAGTTTTTAAGGTTGGCTTTGAGCCCATCTTTAAATCTCTTTTCCTGTCCACCAACATTCCGTTTTCCATTCTTGAGTTCAGAGTAGAACAACTGCTTTGGGAGACGGTGGTCGGGCATCTGGACAACGTGGCCGGATGGCGGAGGACCATCACTTCAGTGCTGGTGGTCTTTGCTTCTTCCAGCATGCTGACATTTGTCCGCTTGTCTTCCCAAGAGATTTGCAGGATTTTCCAGAGGCAAAGCTGATGGAATCGTTCTAGGAGTTGCATGTGACACTTTAGCTCAATCATTAATCAGACTGAAGACTGTAGGCAAGAAATCAAAAGAAGTGTAAGACTTGAAGGACACTTAGAAGGAACTATAGAAGATTCTGAAGTGTAGAGATATATATTTAAAGACTCAAGTTAGTATTATATATGTTATTGTATTTGCAATTAATATGAATGGCTGTGAAAGCTGAAGAGTGAAGAAAGCTGATAGGAAGAAAATGAACTCGTGAAATGTGGAAATGAAAAAACGTTTTGGAGATATTGTGGATAATAATAATAATAACAATAACACTTTATTTGTACCCCGCTACCATCTCCCCAAGGGACTTGGTGCGGCTTACATGAGGCCGAGCCCAAACACAACAATACAAGCAATAATCACAACAATACAAGCAATTATAATGGATAGCTAGAAAGACAAATAAATGGGCCCTAGAGCAAACCAAACCTGAATTCTTCCTTGAAGCCAGAATGAAATGAACTGATACTGTCATATTTTGGGAAGACATGGCTTACTAGAAAAGACAGTAATGCTTGTTAAGGTAGAAAGCAATTGGACAAGTGGAATACCTCATTACAGATAGATAGATTCAATCAGAGAAGCCACAACCCTGAATTTGCAATACTTGAGCAGGGCTGTTATGATGGGAGACTTTGAAGCCTTTCATTTATGGATTCATTTCCTGAATGGTAGTGGGCATTTTATTTTATTTATTAATTATTTATTAATCAATTTTATATACCGCCACTCCCCGAAGGCTCGGAGCGGTTTACAATATACATATGCATTCTGTTGAAGCTTCCGAATTCAAAGGTGTAACTACAATCTTTTCAAAGAACTCATTTATTAAATAATTTTAAATTATCTCTAATACATATATTAACTATACTAGACAAATTCATTATTATTTAAAAAATGTACGAGTACCTCCTGGGCAGCATATGGCGAATAGATGCTTCCTCTGTGAATCTACTATGTGTTTTGATTTCTGGGTTTAGAAGAAATGAAAAATGGTAATCTGAATCATTAGTTTGCTTTTATTGGAAATAAAATATGCAATTTCATTACAGGTTGAATCTGCCTTCGCTGTTCCACTTCGGTGGTTAAATGTAACAGCTACCTTCTGTTCAATTGGCCAATCCAAACAGTTTGTAGTTGCACTCTTTTTGGTTTAACCACCATGTTGAAATAACATGGGAATTACATGGGAACATAAGTAAATGTCTTCTGAATTTACTCTCCAGCCTGTTTTATTTAATCCTTAATACTAAAGGAAGGAAAATGAGGCAAAAGTTTCTGTCCCTTTTACTGATCAACTCAGTAGGATATACATTCTTCATGTATTTATGTAGACAGTAGATGTGGCAAAGCTCTTTTAATTACTGTATGCAATATGTTTGTTTTCTTTTTAGTAAAGCCACAGCCTTCAAAAATTATAAGATCTCTGAGAGATTACATGAAGGATCCGGATCGAAAAGAACCACTTATAGGTATGGTTTTTCAGATTAATGAATGTCATTATTATCTTGAGACTGCAGTGTTCCACGGTTTCTTCTGTGATTTTTGTCAGTGAATGTCATTTACCATCAGAGTGGTAATTGAGCCTGGTCTCTTGCAGATACAGGTTGAGTATCCCTTATCCTAAATGCTTGGGAACAGAAGTTTTTGGATTTGAGAATTTTTTTTGGATTATGGAATACCTGTATTTCCACATGTGTGCCTAATGAATTACCTTAGACATGAGACCTAGATCTTAACATGGAATTACTTTAGTCTTGCTATATATCTTGTACACATAGCCTGAAGGTAATTTTTATAAAATACTTTTTAATAATTTTATGCATGGAATAAAATGTTCGTACTTTGAACCATTAGAAAGCCAAAGTTTCATTGGTTCAGACATCCATGTGGACAATTTTGGATCTTGGAGTATTTTGGATCTCAGAATAAGAGATGCTTAACCTTTATTGTGCTGTATTGAATTAGGGTTTGATAATCATTTACTAAAAAATGTGTTGCCTATGCTGGCAGTGTTGATTCTTAAAGCCAAAGTTCTCCTGCTTGAAGTTCTGGACCAGGCGTTCTCAAACTACGGCCTGGGGGCCCCATACGGCCCTCCAAGGTCATTTGCCTGGCCCTCACTCAGAGTCAACTTAAGTCTGAAACGACTTGAAAGCACACAACAACAAGAACAACAGCAACAATTATCCTATCTCATCAGCCAAAAGCAGGCCCACACTTCCCATTGAAATACTAATAAGTTTATATTTGTTTTAATTATTATATTGTTTTAAAGTTGTTGGTTTTTTGCACTACAAATAAGATATGTGCAGTGTGCATAGGAATTTAGTCATGTTTTTTTCAAATTATAATCCGGCCCTCCAACAGTTTGAAGGACTGTGACCTGGCCCTCAGTTTAAAACGTTTGAGGACCCCTGTTGTGGACTGTCTCCTCTGCCAAGATGTAGTTATGTTCTCTGCAACAGAGACATCTGGAGGTAGAAAGCTAATACTGCGCCACTATTCTCAGTTCATATTACATCTCAACAGATGTTGATGTTCTATGAAGTACCATAATAAAATGTAAAAAAACCCACCTTTGCCACTTGCATATGTGTTCTTCACTGGTTAGGCCTGCTCATAGAATCATAGAATCAAAGAGTTGGAAGAGACCTCATGGGCCATCCAGTCCAACCCCCTGCCAAGAAGCAGGAATAGTGCATTCAAATCACCCCTGACAAATGGCCATCCAGCCTCTGCTTAAAAGCTTCCAAAGAAGGAGCCTCCACCACACTCCGGGGCAGAGAGTTCCACTGCTGAACGGCTCTCACAGTCAGGAAGTTCTTCCTAATGTTCAGATGGAATCTCCTTGTAGTTTGAAGCCATTGTTCCGCATCCTAGTCTCCAGGGAAGCAGAAAACAAGCTTGCTCCCTTCTCCCTGTGGCTTCCTCTCACATATTTATACATAGCTATCATATCTCCTCTCAGCCTTCTCTTCTTCAGGCTAAACATGCCCAGCTTTCTAAGCCGCTCCTCATAGGGCTTGTTCTCCAGACCCTTGATCATTTTAGTCGCCCTCCTCTGGACACATTCCAGTTTGTCAATATCTCTCTTGAATCGTGGTGCCCAGAATTGGACACAATATTCCAGGTGTGGTCTAACCATAAGCAGAATAGAGGGGTAGAATTACTTCCCTGGACCTAGACACTATACTCCTATTGATGCAGGCCAAAATCCCATTGGCTTTTTTTTGCCACTACATCACATTATTGGCTCATGTATAACTTGTGGTCCACGAGGACTCCAAGATCTTTTTCACACGTACTGCTCTCGAGCCAGGCCCATTCTGTATCTTTGCATTTCATTTTTTCGGCCAAAGTGGAGTATCTTGCATTTGTCACTGAATTTGCTGGATGAGATAGGTCTTTAATTCTGTTTTGAACTGAATTGAATTCAAACTGGAATTTTGTTTAGCTATCAAATTGTTTCTAGCAAGCCAATGCAGTGGATGAAAAGGTCCTTTGGGTGATAATTGCCAGTTGGGTTCTAGCTGGTTGAATTTGTCGTCCCCCCCCCCTCCCGTCACCCCCAGACCTATGTATAGGGGATGAACATGACCATGTTTTTCCAGACAGACGCGAAGGAGCACCAAACTGGGCAGAAATCTTCCCTTCTTCAAACTCCCCCCCCCCCCCCCCCCCCCCGGATTGGCAGGCAAGAGGCCATTTCAGAGGGAACATGGCCAGTAAGGAAGTGTAGAAACAGTAGGATGAGGGAAAATCCTTCCATTCTGCTTCCTCCTTGTGATTCTCAAACTTGGGCTGAAACAGCTAGGAAGGAGGCGACAGAGAAGACAGGGAAATCATGAGTACAATTAGGGCCCAAGTATCTCCCCAGCTTTGTCCCTCAAGATGATCCTCACTGTCTTAGTTCCAGGTGCTGATCTCACAGGAGCCTGTTCGCATTGCTGTTGGCTGTGCTGCTCTGGTAGCAGCTATCCACAGCTTGGGAGAATCAGAAGGACCAAGGTTGGGCAAATGGTTCTTTTCCCTCCTAGCTGTCTATCACTTGGCCCCCGGTAGTATGAATTAGACCACAGTCAAATCCACAAGGCTTGCTGGTTCAAACGGATGAGTAATTTTTCATTCTCATGTGCTTTAGACATGTAGGAGGATACAGAGCCTTCCCCTTCTGAATTGGGTGGATGCTATCTTAGTGGCCTGTATAGGACTAGGTCCGAGAATGTCCACACATGGTTGAGCCAAAGGCCTCAGCTTCAGAGTCAGGTGCTTCTAAGCAGATTCAACATGGCTCCTGCCAAAAGCATAGGAAAGCCCAACATACTTCCATCCTGAGCAGCATGGTTTACTCCTGGCAATCTTCAGGGGAAGATTATGGAAATGACTACTCCTTTGCTTCTTCAGGAGGAGGGAGGTCCTAGGAGTATCTTCTTGTTTTGTTGAGTTTTTGTTTTGAGTTTCAATGCTGTTGTTTTATATTTACATGTTTTAATTCATTGTTTTTTTTTTATCTGGTTCTGCTTTATTCTTGTGGCCATTTTGACCCTTATGTAGACTGCTCCAAGTCCCTTTAGGGAGATGGTGGTTGGGTATAAGAATAAAGTTCTTTTCAGTTATTCTAATCAGACCATTTTCTTTGTATCTGAGAAAGGCAATCCAAACATTAGACCTCGGCCCGCCTTTGGAGATTACTCAGTTCCAGGATCTCCCCTAAGGGAGCAGTTTCCCAAAGCAGTCCCTTCATCCCTGGAAATTTCCTTTATAGATTACTCTATGGATATAGTGAAAGAGGGATATAGTAAACCTTCCTCCCAACAACCCTAATCCATAATGTGTTAAGAAATCCTGTAACCTTCTGAAAAGTGTTACGTCTAATATACAAACACCCTTGCTGTCCTTGCTTGCTGCAAGTATAGCAAGGATGCACTAAAAATCAGGATAGGAGACTGCCCTAAAGAAGGCAATTGAAGTCTTTTCCTTGGCCTCAGGAGTGGAAACTTCAGTTTTCATCATGTCTAAAACGTCACTGCCCTGATCCAAGTAAATTTTAAAAATAATTATTTATCCATCAAAATGTATAAATATACATCCTTTCCCCTTTTTACAATATTTTGGACAGGGAAAGTATGCCATATTTTGCACAAATAAAAAGAAGAAAATCAGATGCACTATAAGCACACTTATCAGTTTTTTTATTTTCCCTAATTGCAGCTTATGCTACATATATCTCTACTACACATCTTTTATCTACTTATACATTTATTTTTATTATTATTATAATATTTTTCCTCCCTCCCGCCTACCCTTATTTTGTGCCACCTTTGCCAGGATCAATTCTTGTTTGACAACTCCAAAATGTCATTGCTTCTGTTGCCGGCTTGTAACCCTTTCCCTCATTGAAGATATACTCAATAAAATTTCCAAAAACCGGTTTGTTTCCATAATGCCTTTTTAATTTTAATATTGCAAGTCAATTTGTCATTAATAACTATGTTCCAAATTTCCTTGTACCATTCTTCTAACTAAACTTCCTTTCTTTCTTTCCAATTTTTTGCTACTAACAATTTTACTGCTGTTAGCAAATTAGAAACCATTTCCTTCTCCTCTTGTGAAGAAATTGGATTGTCATGTATGAGTAATAATGGTGATTTTGGTGTACTCTCTATTTCTATTTTTATAATTATTCTTATTTCTTTAAATACCCTTTCCCAAAATGTTTGTATAAATTTACAGTACCACCACATATGAAAATATGAGCCATTTCCTGATAGCCTCTCCAGCACTGATCTGAATATTTTTTTTTATCTATCTGATTTAACCTAACCAGGGTTAGGTTCCATTTCCATATTGTGGTTGTTCATTCGTTCAGTCGTCTCCGACTCTTCATGACCTCATGGAACAGCCCACGCCAGAGCTCCCTGTTGGCCATCACCACCCCCAGCTCCTTCAAGGTCAGTCCAGTCACTTCAAGGATGCCATCCATCCATCTTGCCCTTGGTCGGCCCCTCTTCCTTTTAACTTCCACTTTCCCCAGCATAATTGTCTTCTCTAAGCTTTGCTGTCTCCTCATGATGTGGCCAAAGTACTTCAACTTTGTCTCTAGTATCCTTCCCTCCAATGAGCAGCCAGGCTTTATTTCCTGGAGGATGGACTGGTTGGATCTTCTCGCAGTCCAAGGTACTCTCAGAACTTTCCTCCAACCCCACAGTTCAAAAGCATCTATCTTCCTTCGCTCAGCCTTCTCTAAGGTTCAGCTCTCACATCTGTAGGTTACTACAGGGAATACCATGGCTTTGACTATGCGGATCTTTGTTGCCAGTGTGATGTCTCTACTCTTTACTATTTTATCGAGATTGGACATTGCTCTCCTCCCAAGAAGTAAGCATCTTCTGATTTCCTGGCCACAGTCTGCATCTGCAGTAATCTTTGCACCTAGAAATACAAAGTCTGTCACGGCCTCCACATTTTACCATTTCCATACCATTTTAAAATAGTTTTCCTTAATTCTTATGGATATATTTTTTAGTAATTGCATACTTGATCGTTCTTGATCATTTACTTTCCCCCGAAATCTACTTCCCTTACACCCCTCAAGTGGTCTTGTTCCTTTTTGACCATTATTAATAATTTATAAATATTGCTTACTGTGCCTTTTAATATTACATTATCTTATTTATCCTCCCTTTGAGTTATCATCTTATCAAATTTCATATGTTCCCTACCGGTGTTATACCTTTTCTTTATATCACTTGACCATTTCCCCAATTGGAAGTATTTATACCACTCTAAATCTCTTCCTATTAATTGATCTTTTACCCTTTCCATATTTATCATCTTCAGATCCCAATCTCTGATTTTCATTATATCTCTTCCATTAAGTTCTGCTTCAAGTTCTTTTTAAAATTTTCCTGGGAAATTTTTTGTCATCAAAACTGGCCTTATAAGCAAAATACCTGGCATTAGTTTATTTATATAGATATAGATATATATTTCTCTTACATTTCCAAGGAAAGGAAATATTAAGGGGAATTCCTATCAACAAGACAAGCAGTTGCCACAAGTGATGAAACAGTAGACTCTTGGGAATGATAGCACCTTTCGGCCTTGTTTGTATCTCATCCATCCGCCCTTGATGTATCTCATCCAAAGGATGCTTTTCCCTCTGTTCTGAAAAAAAGAAACATTGGTCTTACTAAAATAGGGTTGTTTACAGCAGTGAAGGGACAAACATCCTCTTCATCATGAAGTGAACTGACATGAGGTTGAAGTATACGTAGATAATTGTCCTGGGGATTGGACTACTACTGACTTAAAGTGTTCTCTCTGCTATCTCTTGTTCAGCTTTTCTCTTTTACCCCCCCCCCCCTCTGAAAACCAATAAAAAAGGCCATGGTAGTTCTTTTATACAAAAATATGGTGTAATAATGACTGACTCTTTGGAGGATAACTCCGCCATGTGGAGGCATTTCCAGTTATTGGAGCAGGTGGGAGAGGCAATATATCGAAGAATATTAATTCCTTCATTGCTGAAAATGAATATACTTCAGGTAAAATCAATGATAATTTCTCTCTTTCAAATAACTGAAAACTTCTTAAAACAAAGTTCGATTTGAAATGGTGATTTTGTTACATTTTCCTCCTCCAAGACAATTTCTGAGAACTTTGTACAGAAATCAGTTTATTAGTAAATTATATTTTATCTGGACTGTAGAGGTGAAAAATTTAAATTCTGTTGTTCTACAATAAGAATCCAAAAGACTTGGTTCAGCAGTCATTTTAAAATTCAGTTAAAAAGTAGAGAATTTGTGAGGCTGAAGTAGATGTGAACAAGGAAGAGGGATGTGGATATAATCCCAGCTTTATTACTAGCATTCTCAACAGTAAATTAGTGCTTATCATTTAATGACACCTACATCTTCCCTGTAATCTGCAGTGCTGTCATCCTGAGAATTAGATCAATTATCTACTCTGTGCTTGAGCTGTCCGACACCATGTACTAACTTCTAAATAACTGGTAATTGAGGAATAGCCTCTTTTCCCATGCTATTGCGATCACATACTTGTGCTATGCCTTATTTGGAATTGCAAAGTAGGGAAATAAAACAAATAAAAATCTTTCAATGCAATGCTATAAATAGAAATATTTTTTGTTTAGATAAATAAATGCCTACATCAATGTCTCTGTGCTTACAGGTTTGGAATATTTAATCGAAATTCGAATCCAAGGGAAACAGTTTCCATTCTATGAATGCCAATTATGCCAGTTTACTACAGAGTTGACACCAATGATACAACACCTCATTGGGAGAAAACACAGAAACTATTATCTTGTAAGTTATCTCTACTTGTAATAAAAAAGTATGGAAATATGGTACCAAATAGGGCAAAATTAATGTTTCTAAGTTTTGTCTCTAGCATTCTTTCTTGCAGCATGGGGACTGGGAACCTTGTTTTCAGCCTGTGGATTTTACATGAATAGTGCACTTCACCAGGCTGTTTTGGAGACACCAGAGCTATAAAATACGTTGGGGGAAATCCTAAAACCAAACCTTCATTTTGCCATGAGCTGAGCACTGCTTAGTTATGTTCCTTCCTTCCATTTCACAGATCCTCAGGCTCTCCCATGCTTGTTTGCATTGCTCACCATTTTATATAAGTGACACCATTTATTATGCTATTGTATCCACAGATTTTGGCATTTGTGGATACCCAAATCAGATATCAAGGGCCCACTGTACTTCTGTAGCATGTTATGTGAGGTTTATTAAATCTTCTTGCCCATCACACCAATTGGTGTGAAAATTAACTGACATCATTGTGGGGCAGAGAGGAGCAAGTTTTTATTCCACACACAGACTTCATTGGCATACAACAGCAAAATTGGCATACAACACAGGTATATACAACAAGAGGAAGTCACAAATAAAAAGAAAAACGTACTTAAAAGTTACTAATCTCAAAGATAAAATTTACAACAGTCTCACAAAATAATGTGTTGGAGTTGTTCATAAGATAAGGAATTTTATAATACCCTTGCCCATTGAGAACATTGTGAAAAAATTGAATTCCTATATTTCATCCATATATTATCATATTTGGGGCAAACAAACAAAGAATGATGAAGTGTTTCAGCAGAGACCAAGTCAAAAGAATGTTCCACTTTTTGATATCTCCCATCCAAAAGAACTGATGTTAATGGGCCCGCCTCGCGCCCGTGCTGGACTCTTGAAGCAAAGACAACTTGTTCACCTAGCACATCATTAATTCCATGCAAGCGTGGAGTCAGGGCAGCATATCTTCACATTTTGACTAATTCCCACCCAGCAATTTGAAGTAATTTGTTTGGTTGCAGAAAAGGAACTCTTTGTTTGCAACATTTGGGATCTTACTCTTGCATAACGTACAGTGCGTTAAGAGGACCTTCAAGCCATACAAAAAAGCAGGAAAACACAGTGGATGGAGTTGGAAGTCTTGGAGAAGGGGATTGAAAAGCAAAAGACCCTGACTATGCACTCTTTCAATATCAGAGCAAGAGAGGTGCAGTTTCTTTCTGCACATTCTAGAAAGCAAGATTTGTTGGAACAGAACAACTAGATCTGAGAATAGCTATGAAGCACTAATTGATATAAACGTTAAGCCTGGTTTTCTGTTTAAAGCACCTCTGTGGAGTAGGCATTGGGAGAGGACAACCAACAAGACCTCCTGCAGAATGATCATGTTGACCAGAACTTGCACTTGTCCACATATAATGTCTATTCATACAAACATATGTGCACCCAGTCTCTGTGTGTAGTAATGATTTCTCTCCCTGTCTTCACATATGTAGGGATTGTTTGAATGATGTAGAGCAGATAGCCACACTCATCCTGGGCAATCCCATTCCTGGGTTAGCTATTTCTCCAATACTACTAGGAGGCAGCTTGTTGGAGAGGGACCATTTCCCTTACAAAGATTTCCATCACGTTTCCTTGTCATTATCAGCATGGAAGCTGCTTGGGTTGTTTTGCCAAATAATAAGTTTTGCTTGTAAATAAGGAATCAAAGAAATCTTAGACAACATCTAAACTACTGTTTAATCATAGCCTGCCCACCCCCTTTTGTTTTAATTGTTTCAACTCCTTGATAGTAGAAGAGGCTTTAGAAAGCCAATCAATATACATTTTTGACTTTTTTTATTTCTTTGCTAGCAAAAACATCATCCAGACAAAGCAACGAAACCCCCAAAGGAAGACAAAAATGTGTTTCTTAGGCGGATGGCAAGAGAGGTAGAAAAGACTGAAGGTTTAAAAATGTATAAGGTAAGCTTTACATTGATGATACTTCTGTAATTCTAAGTAATGGCGATGTAGTATCTGATGGGCTCTTCATACTTAGTGACCCTCAACAATTATGGTGTAAACAATCTAGTAATTGTTTACACCATAACTTATAAAGTGAAAAGTCCTATTTATATTTTTTGAAATTAAATGGAATGTGTTGGTGAAGCAACAGAGTATGCAGAATGGAATAGAAAAATACTGTATATACTCGAATATAAGCCTAGTTTTTCAGCCCCCTTTTTAGGCTGAAAAAGCTCCCCTCAGCTTATACTCAAGTCAAGGTTATTTATTATTTTACTCTGTTATTAGCATTATTTTTATTTCATGTATTATTTTACTCTATTATTATTACATTTACAGTATTTTACCCTATTATTATTATTATTACATTTATTTTACTTTATTATTATTGCATTTATTATTTTACTCTATTATTACATTTATTGTTCTCTATTATTACTGTTATTATTGCATTTCCATTGTTTTACTTTATTATTATTATTATTATTATTATATTTACTCTATTATTGTTGGAAGGATAAGGAAGTACATTTAGATTGAAGATATTAATGATTTAATCAGAGTTGGGCAGTCTTATCTTAAATTACAGTTTTATTTATTTATTTATTTATTTACCTTACTTATATACCGCTGTTCTCAGCCCGAAGGCGACTCAGAGCGGTTCACAACAAATACGAACAGCAAAAATTTAGTGCTACAGTATAAAAACAGTTAACAACCTAACACATTACACAATTAATAAACAGTTACTACAATACCCATTCACTGTTGTCTCATCATCAAAAACATGTTCCAGATTCGTCATCCATTGTTCCATTCCAGTGTTCATTAACCAATCATTATGTAAATATTCAGAAACATTTGGCCTATTGATGTCTCAATTAATGTAATTTTATTGGTATCTATTTTTATTTTGAAATTTACCTGTGGTGGCTGCGTTCCCCACCCTCGGCTTATACTCAAGTCAATATGTTTTCCCAGTTTTTTTGTGGTAAAATTAGGTGCCTTGGCTTATATTCGGGTCGGCTTATACTCGAGTATATACGGTAACTTGGCATTGTGCTTGTATCTTAAATTCTCTTTTGTGTTATATTCTGCCCCGTCCTCACCCCCTGCACTTCCAAATTGTACTACCCTGTTGGTTCCAAGAATGTGAGGAGTAAACTATTCTAGAGGAAATATTTGATTGTATGTTGGCTCCATTTTGATACAAGTGCAGTGTTGAAATCTCAGCTTTTCAACATGGGGTTTAAATTACTTCCCCCAGCCCAGAAGGACAGTACATTGAAATTGTGATGAGGGGGACATTGTTTTCTTTCCTGCTTTCTCTTCCAAACAGATACATACACATTTAAAGATGTGGACACCATTATATTCCAATAGTTGCATGAGATGAATCTTTTGGAACAATCTAAAATAACACTTTTTTTTCTTTGTCACAACTCATTTTGTCATCAGATTAAATATTTATTCCCAACTAGAACTGTAAACAGATCTATTTAACCCAATTAACAGATAGGCATAAATGAAGGCTAATTGTCCTCAGACTAGAGTACTTTAATAGGCTGAGGCACTTTTATAGTTTAGTTCCTGTCTTGTAGGACTTTCTAAAAAAAGAAATTCCAGATATCAACACTAAACCTTTCCAACCCCCTTTTCTCTATATAGTATATTAAAGCAACAACTTTTTGTTCATGATTCTTTTTTCCCATGATTGAACTGAATCTGATTATATCTCCTGTTATTCTTTAGTGTGAAGGTTTTGAAAGACCGGGCAAATCTTGTAAGTAAGAATTCTATATATTTCATATGTTAACTTAAAACAACACACTTTCCAAATATATATTTACATTCATAAAGAACTACTTCAATTAATTATAAAATTAAAAGTGTTCTTGGATTTCTTTGATACAGAAGTGAGAATACATCATCTTGTATTCCGTCAGTTACAACTCAGAGACAAAAGATAGGTGCTGGTATTAAAAAAAATCTGGAAGTCCAAGAATTTGTTTCATACGTAGTGTCCTGTGGGTTTTATTTTCTTTTAGCAATACAGTGGCGCAATGGGTTAAACCCTTGGGCCAGTAGGACTGCTGAGGTCAGCGGTTCGAATCCGGGGAGAGCGGGTTGAGCTTCCTTTCTCAGCTCTAGCTCTGCATGCGGGGACATGAGAGAAGCCTCCCACAAGGATGATAAAACATCAAACATCCAGATGTCCACATGCTTGTGTATTTCAATGGCTTCTCTGTGTAGTCTGACATGGTGGTTGTGAGAGTGGTCCAGCATTTCTGTGTTCTCAGATAATATGCTGTGTCCAGGTTGGCTCATCAGGTGCTCTGCTATGGCTGACTTCTCTGGTTGAAGTAGTCTGCAGTGCCTTTCATGTTCCTTGATTCGTGTTTGGGTGCTGCGTTTGGTGGACATTCACCTCTCAAAAAAAGTTTGCCCCAGGCAGTCAGGCCATTGTATGCTAATCAAGGTGGTCAGTTGAAACATTCACACCTAGCTCCAGCAGACAAGAGTCCTTTGTCTCACCCTGGTCATTCCACAGATATATAAACCCTTTTGCCTAGTTCCAACAGACCTCACTACCTCTGAGGATGTTTGCCATAGGCGAAACATCAGGAGAGAATGCCTCTAGACCATGGCCATATAGCCCCAAAAAACCTACAACAACCCAGTGATTCCGGCTATGACAGCCTTCGACAGACTTTTTTTTTCTTTTTTGTGCCTGCTCTTGGTCCCACCCCCATCTCAAGTAGGCTGGTGGAAGTGAGCGAGAGGGCGTTCTCCATAGTTTCCCCCCTCCTCTGGAATTCTCTCCCTAAAGAAATAAAGCTGGCCTCCTCCCTCCTCTCCTTCATAAAACAATTGAAGATTCATCATCAGGGCCGTAGCCAGAAAAAAAATTCGGGAAGGGTTGAAATTTTCGGGGGGGGGGGGGGGGTTGAAACCTGCCTCCTAGCTCACGCTGAAGCCAAGAGCACAGCAGGGGGCAGAGCAGCCTTCAATAGCCTGCAGCTCCGCCCCTGTCAACCACCTCCACCAAGTCTGGCCTCCTTAATGAGAGCATACAACACCCCCCCCAACTTGGTTGCTTCATTACCTCGGCTATTGCTGCAAGTAATGACAGTGTGAATAAATTGTCGATATTTGCTTGAGATAGTGCTTGCAGTTCTGGAGGGACTCTTAATTTTTTGCATCTCATAGACTTAGCATGAGGATTTGGTTAACCAGTTAAAATTCATGAGTAAACCAGGTTTTTCAAAAAAATCTGAAACATTTCGGGGGGGATTGAACCCCTAAAACCACCCCCTCGCTACAGGCCTGTTCATCATATGCTCATTAGCATACGGAGAGGAGGAGGATTAGACATTGAGAGATTACTACGGAACCTCAGATTGAGAACTATTTCGTACTCAGGCTTATCTAGTCTGTGTTAGCCCAGTTACCATCACTAGCCATGCAACCACTCTGGCCACAAAACCAACCTACACAATTTTGTGAATGATAGTTGGCTTTTGTAAATTAATCTGAATGTTTTATGTTCAGATTTTACATCGTTGGATAATTCTTGTTTGATTATGATTAGGTTAATGTATTGATGTTAGGTTCTAATGTTGTTTTAATATGTGGGGGCTTTTCTGGGGTTATAATGTTGGTACTTGTTTGCATTGAATGTTTGCCATTGTATATTGGAATCCGCCCTGAGCCCCCTTGGGGAAATAGGGCACAATACAAATAAAAGTTTTAAATATTATTTAATTTACAAGAAATATGTGGGAGCAGCAACTCAATATAAAGGAAGTTACTGCCTTCTTTGCTGGAAAAATGAACTGTTTTTATTAATATCTTCATCTCCATTTTGTTTCTCTTGCTGCACCAGCAAAGCAAAAAGCAAGGTAAGTAGCAAAGCAGTTGATTATTTTCATTTCATCTGAGTCCATTGTCATTCTTTCCCAGATAGTTGTTTGAGCAGACTAGCTTTGTTGCCAGTCTGCTGAAAATCTCGACTAAAGAGAGCATTTACATTAGGAATACTGTTTTCTAATTAGCTGTATATTCACTAAATCACGGGGTGGGGCCTTGGCCTTCTTCTGGGCAGTCAGATCTGATCAGTTATGTTTAAAAAAAAACACAGTTTCTTGGAGTGACAAAGTGGTTTCACCTTGTTTGGATTAAACTTCAGATGGTGTATTTAATCTCGATATTGATGACTAGTCATCTCCTGCCATGCGTTGCTGTGGCCCAGTCTGGTGATCTAGAAAATAAAGTAATGAGAAAGTGTTGGTTTCTAATATATGTAATTTCTCTATGCTTGTGGGTAAACAGTTCGTGGGGGTCATAATGCTTGTTGATTGTTGGTGAACTGTAAATCCCAGTAATTGCAACTCCCAAATGCCAAGGTCTATTTCCCCCAAACCCCATCTGTGTTCATATTTGGGCATATTGAGTATTCCTGCCAAGTTTGGTCCAGATCAATCATTGTTTGAGTCCACAGTGCTCTCTGGGTGTAGGTGAACTACAACTCCCAAAGTCAAGGTCAATGCCCGCCAAACCCTTCTAGTGTTTTCTGTTGGTCATGGGAGTCCATGACCAACAGTTTAGTTCAATTCCATCATTGGTGGAGTCCAGAATGCTCTTTGATGGTAGGTGAACTATAAATCCCAGCAACTACAACTTCCAAATGACAAAATCAGATTTTTTTGAGTGATGGTCACTCCTTGGGTTAGTAGGTGTCTTGTGGCCAAATTTGGTGCCAATTCTCCCAGTTGTTTTTGAGTTCTGTTAATCCCACAAACGAACATTACATTTGTATTTATATAGATATAACAGCTCAAATTTCTGGATAGCTTTTAGAAGTATTTTCATAAATCTGAGGGGTAATCAACTTCTAGATTTATAGAGATTATGTCTGTTCCATTCCTATATAGCAGCCCACAAGTTACAAACAAGATATATTCTTAAATTGAACTTGTTTGTAAGTGAGAACAGGTGCATTTTTAAGTGTAACTCCAACCAAAAATGTATCTTTTTAGTTTTGGATAATTTGCTCCTGACACAAAAAAGAAAAAAAGCTTTGGGTAGCATAGGAAATGGTTAATACTCCTGTGGTGTTTGTTTCACTGTCTATGTCCCTGTTCAGATTACATCTCACTTTTTGTCCCTGTGATAATTGGATTTTGAAAAATGTGGCTTGATGTAGAAACAAGAATTGGTGAGAAAGCTTCAGTGGAGACACCTTTTCCCAATGATAACTTTTCAGGGGTAAAGAATTTCCCTTCCTAAGGGTAGATTTCTCTCACTTCCTGTTTTCTCACCCCTGTTCTTAACTATGAGTCATCTGTAAGTCATCTGTTTGTAACTTGGGAACTGCCTGTAATCGAGAAGCAAGGGATTTTCTGAAACAGACTTAGCTGTTGATTTGTCAGTTTATTTTTCCAAGAACCAGAATTTGTTTATACGTGTTTCCTTGGATAGGGATAAGCAAGTGTAGAAGGGCCTTAAAGGGTGGTGATGGTTTTACAAACATATTGATAATGCCTCTCACATCTAGTAAAGGGTGTTGGGGAACTTTTTGGGAACATTTGTCTAATTACTTTTTTCCAGTGAGGTATGATGAGAATATAATGTTACAATGAGGTAACATTCAGTGATTGAATGTTAGATACTCCCTGACCAAAATTTGCACTTTATCTATGGTTCGTGCAATTAAATACTCCCTTACTCGGATCCTCATCCTGATAATTTTACATTGTCCTACCTCCCAGTCTTTTAAAATCTTATTCTTGAATGTGACCCTGCCCAGTGAAATCTTTTGTTTTAATTGTTTGTTTTTATACTGTTTTTTTGCTTATTATATTGATTGTTTGCATTTTATGTATTTTATTTTCAGGTATTGTTATGTTTTTGTTTTATAATGTGGGTACTGTGTAGAGCAGGGGTCCACAAACTTTTTAAACAGAGGGCCAGGTCACAGTCCCTCAAACTGTTGGAGGGCCGGATTATAATTTGAAAAAAACCATGAATGAATTCCTATGCACGCTGCACATATCTTATTTGTAGACACAATACACAATAGAATACTTAAAATGAGGAACAATGTTAATAAATATAAACTTATTAGTATTTCAAAGGGAAATGTGGGCCTGTTTTTGGCTGATGAGATAGGATTGTTGTTGTTGTGTGCTTTTAAGTAGTTTCAGACTTAGGCTGACCCTGAGCGAGGGCCGGGTAAATGACCTTGGGGGGCCGCATCCGACCCCCGGGCCTTAGTTTGAGGACCCCTGGTGTAGAGGGTGTGGCCTCATGTAAGTCGCACCGAGTCACCCTGGGGGAGATGGAGTAGGGTATAAATAAAGTATTATTATTATTACTAGCCGTCCCCTGCCACGCATTGCTGTGGCCCAGTCTGGTGATTTGGAAAAGTAAAAGAGGGCTTTGGTTATGTTTTCTAGCCCTGGTGAATGGAGTTGTACTCGCTGGCCTTAAGGCAGCATTTCTCATCCTGGGGGGCGGGACCCCGGGTGTCCCGGGAAGAAACCATTGATTCAGTTGCCTTTTTGTCTGCACATTCCAGTTATAGTTATAGTTATTTTCTTGAGTTGAAGGGATATTATGTTCAGGTTCTTCTTTTTATCTTACTGTCTTTTTTACCTCTTATTTTAGGTTTGCTAAAAATCAGAAGCCTGAGGTATGTGTATATTATGCTTTTTTAAAAATTCAATTTAATGTCTGACCTGCTTTTGAATATTCCAAGTATTTTTGTATAATTTTTGAATATTTTTTCTATTTCATACACATTAAATGCTAAAACAGTAGTGGTGCTTTGTGTTATCTTTATTTATTTATGTGTCACTTCCTCCCCAAAGATTGCAATACAATTAAAAGCAATACAATTAAAAAAATAGAATAGGTAAATATTAAAATAGAATTAAAATAGTTACAGTTACTAAAACAATTTAGCTAAAATACAGTTATAAAATAAATTAAGAGCTGAAAGAGTAAGCAAAGAATATGCATCCCATCTGAAATCCTCTAGCTGCCTCCTGCAGAATTCTGGGGCTTGTAGTTTAGTGAGACCCAGGACCTCTCTGGCCGAACATTTTAAAGGCCTTCCCCTAAACTACAAGCCCCAAAATTCTTACGCATAGCAGTAAGCAGTCTTAAAAGATTATTTTACACTCATTATGGCAATTTAGTGTGTTAAGCTTAAGGCTGTGTTTCTTTTCATTAGTCCTTCAAGAAGTTGAATATTCCTTGTTTACAAAATATTCTAATCAGAGTGTAATATGAAAGAATGATGGGATGGATATTCAAGTCTGCCAAAATTATCTTTTCATTTCCTAGGACTATGAATCCTGGGAGTTTTAGTTTTTTGAGGTGGCAGCACTGTTTGGCAGAGAAGGCTGAAGACCTTCTGAAAGTACACCTCCCACAATTCCATAGCATTTGAGCTGTATCAGTTAAGTGGTGTCAAACTGTATTCATTCTACAATGGAGATGCATTTTCAGCCCAGCTCCCTATCAGTGTTCTCTTCTTATAGCAGGCAGGACTTTGGGGATTCACTGGAGATGTTTTTGAGCTGGAAAGGAGAGTTGGTGGTGTCCTTTGCCCTTGCCTGGGGAAAATGATCTGTTAAAACACTTTACTGCTTTGGTCTAGAAATCTGCTTTTCTCCCGCATTTGAGGCGTCTAGCCATAGATGTAAGCATCTGTCCTTTCGGTTGTGTTATTTCAAAACATTGTATTCATTTGGGGTCTAATTCTCTTACAGAATGATCCAGTTCGGAAATTGAAAGCTCTGGAATATTTGGTAATGTAGAAGTGCCCAATCTTTTGAGGGTTATGTACACATTTGTTATGTTAAGAAACTTTGAGTTTTACTATAAAACTAGCTGTACCCGCCACGCGTTGCTGTGGCCAACCTTCCCTCCCTCTTTCTCTCCTTCCTTCCCTCTTT